CCGTCCCCTCCCCTCGCCCCCCTCCCTATCCCCCAACCCTCTTATCCCAGCCGTGGGCTACTGCGAGCGGGAGTGGGAGTGGAGACGATCAACTGTGAGATGGCGTCAGTCGAGGAGCTCAAGTCTGCCATCCAGCGCTGCTGCGGCTTCGTGTGCGGCAGCCCCACGCTGGGCGGCCACATGCCCACGCCCATGAAGGAGGCGCTGGGCGTCATTCTCAACGAGTCTGCTGCCAAGGGCAAGCCCACAGGCGTGTTTGGGTCGTTCGGGTGGAGCGGGGAGGCGGTGGATGAGATGGAGCAGTTGCTCAAAGATGGCGGGTTCTCCTTTGGATTCCCACCCATCCGCTGCAAGTTCAAGGTGGGCAGGGGGAGGCACTGAGGAAGGTGCTGTGTGGGTGCTGGGGGCTTTTTGTTGTGCGTTGGGTGGTGTGTTGGTTGGTGTATTGCACGCCTCGTGTGTCCGTACCTCTGCAGTTTCATATCTCCAGCTTACACCTGCGGTTCCGCTTCCTCCATCTCTTTCCCTCCCATCCCTCCCGTCCCACCCGCTCTCGCCTCTCCCACCCGCTCTTGCCTGTCCCACCTCTCTCTCTCTGCCCCGGTGTGCCAGCCAACGGAGGGCATGCTGCAGATCTGTGAAGAGAGTGGCCGAGACCTCGCCAGGGAGGTGAGTCATTGCACTGCCCGCATTGCTCATGCTGCCCGCAGTGCTCATGCTGCCCGCATTGCTCATGCTGCCCGCATTGCTCATGCTGCCTGCAGTGCTCATGCTGCCCCTGTTGCTCATGCTGTCCACGGTGCCTTCCCGGAATGCCTGCTGTGGCTGCACTGTCCGCAGTGCTGAAAAGCACTTAAAAACTGTACTGTTCGCGCTGTTCTTTGCACCCTACACCATTTTTTGCATTCTTGTTATCGTATTCACCTTTCCCCACGTCTCTCCATCTCTCTCGTCCCTCCCGCCTCTCTCTTTGCTCAGATCCGCAAGGGCAAGGCCAAGCAGCGCAGCACATCGGCCAAGTCAGCTGTGATATCTGGGTCTGGTTTGGAGCAGGTAAGCTACTGAAATGCTTGGCTTTAAGCCACCTGTGAGAATCGGAAAGCATTAGCCAAGTCAGGTGTTGTGGCTTGGTCAGGAGTGGAGCGGATGGATGCTGGAATAATGACAAGCCATTTAGACAAATTATGCACACGGGTACAAAACAGTGGGTAGACCAGTGGAGAGCGGCGGGGTCATGCGTTATGTCACGTGGGTCATACAGCGGCGCTCACAGCGCCATGGATGGTGTGCCGTGCCCACTCACCACCTCCTTCACTCCATCTTCTTCAATTACCTCCATCCCACCGTCCGCCATCCCCTCTATGCATCAAACACCTACATCACTTCCGATAATTTTTGTCATTTCAATTTCCTCCATCCCCTCAACCCCCCCTCATGGCAGGCGGTGGGGCGGGTGGTGGGGTCGCTGTGTGTGGTATCAGCCGTCAGTGGCGACGGTGACGCTCAGAGCGCCATGCTTGCCTCGTGGGTCTCCCAGGCCTCCTTCAACCCGCCTGGCCTCACTGTTGCTGTGAGTCCCTCCCCCCCATGCCCTGCCATACCGTGCCATGCCATGCCATGCCCCTTCTATGTCAATCCTCGTTCTCCGCTATGTCATGCCTATCATGCCATGCCCTTCATACCATTGCCCCACCATACCATGCCCTTATCATGCCATGCCCCCACCATGCCATGCCATGCCCCCACCATGCCATGCCATGCCCCCCCCATGCCATGCCATGCCCCCCCCACCATGCCATGCCCCCACCATCCCCTGCCCCACCTTTCCATGAACCTACCTTCTCCACCTCCCTTCCTCACCATTTTCCATCCCCTCCTGCACCCCCTCCTGCACCCCCTCCTGCATCCCCTCCTGCACCCTCCCGTAACCTCCTTCTCCCTTGCCCTCTATCCATGCTCCCCTCTTCCCCTCCACATGCCTCACTTCCCCACATGCCTCACTTCCACATGCCTCCTTCTCCACATGCCTCTCCCCACAAACTGTCCTGCCCCCCAGGTGGCAAAGGAGAGGGCGCTCGAGTCGTTGGTGCTGGTGGGGGCCATTCCCACTACCCATGAGCTTCCGTCCTCACCACCTGCACCTCTCTGCGTGCCCACCCTCCCCCCTCACACCTCCCCGCAGGTGGCAAAGGAGAGGGCGCTGGAGTCGCTGGTGCTGGTGGGGGGCAAGTTCGCCCTGAGCGTGCTCGGGGAGAAGAACGTGGGCGCAGTTTCCAAGCAGCTTCTCAAGCCGTTCCAGCCCGGGGAGCCTAGGTTCGGCGATCTACCAACCAAGCAGGCCAGCAACGGCGCCACCATCCTGGCAGATGCGGTACGTGTGTGAGATGCCGGTGATGCCGGGAGGACATGGGATGCCTGGAGGACATGGGGTGCCTGGTGATGCCCCATCTTGTTCGCTGAATGTGCTTTTGAGTCAGGAGCTCTTATCCCTCAGCAGCAGCAGCAGCAGCAGCAGCATCACCAACTTGGCTGGTGTTGTTTCTGTGGTCCCCAAAATCCCTGTGCTTGCGCATGTAGCAGATGACTTTGAATGGACACACTAGCACCCTAGTGAACCACGTTCCCATCCCTCCCACTTCCATTCTTTCCACATCAGAAACGCTACATGGAGTGCACGGTGCAAACACTCATGGAGATGGCCGACCATTGGGTCATTTACGCCAAATGCATGTGCTAACAAGTCTCCTTGTTCTCTCGCTGTCTCCTTCCAACCGAATGCGTCAACATGCAATTCCACATCAGATCTCCTACATGGAGTGCACCGTGCAAACGCGCATGGAGACGGGCGACCACTGGGTTGTCTACGCCACCGTCGATTCAGGCGACATCATGGTTAGTCCCTCTCCCTCTCCCTTGCTTTCTGCTCCTGCCTCTCCCTCTCCCTCCCTTAAACTGCCCCTTTCTCTCCTCACTCTCTGCTGCTCCCACCCACTTCACTCACTCAATAAACTGCCACTCTCTTTCTCACTGCCAATACCGTCTCTCTCCTATTTCCCTCTTTTGAAGCTCCTCTCTGGAAAGGGCATAGCAATGCAGGCCATGTCCATTCCCTCTGATCACATGTTTTGCACATGTGGTTGCAGCTTAAACTTGCTGCGCTGTCTCTCCTTTCTTAGCCCTGATACGTCTAAAATAAATTTCTTATCCCTGTAGTGCTGCGACCAGATAGTTGCTTGCATAGCTCCCTTATTTTCACTCCTTCGCATTTTGCGGGCATTTTGATTCATACTCCTCTATTTCCTGCCCGGCCCACTAACAGGACGAAAAGACCCTCACAGCACTGCACCACCGCAAGACCGGCAGCCGTTACTGAAAAGAAAGTCTGCTTACTTGGTTTGGTTTGGTTACTGTAGTGTTCTTCAAAGCATCTTTCACCCGAATACTTGTGCTTGTGTGATATGTTTGGTACAAAAATCTGTGCTGTTTCCAACAATCATCTGAGCATTGGTGTGGTGGCGTTTGTGCCAATCGAGTAAATATGATTGTGGGGGTTAAAACCCGCGTCCCAAATTGCGGGCCGCGAGGGTCAAGTTTTTTAAACTTGACGAAGTTGAGTGTCCAAGCTTTTGAAAGTCACGCACTTGCAATTTGGGACTTTCGAAGACAGATTCACTCACCAGGGGGAAAACCGAGGGTTGGCTGGGTCTAGCGAAAAAAAAGAACCTAGACGAAATCGGAAACTCTTGCCAAAGCCCACACCAGAAAAACTCCCTCTGGTCAACTTTTAAAAGCATGAACAATTTGGGCCGCCGGCTTTAAGTCAGTGATTAAGTGGGGAATGTAAATTCTACAGATGTTTTACTGTCTTCTTTCCTTTACTGTTTCTAGAGATGGTATGTACTAAGGAGAGGGGCTTTCCAATGTCGCCAGCAGATCGGCCTGAAGCCTGAATATTTGAGAAGAGTTTCTAGATCTGTCGGGGATCTTGGGGATTTGCTCGGTTGGTGTGTCGCGTCGCTTTAGCACTTTGCCACGGACTCACCTTATCCAGCGCCACATCATTTGACGCCATCGCTGACGGCCCTCGTGGTGACTCCGCTGGTTGAGCTTGCTGCCGAGCCTGGGCTCGAAATTCGTGGTTCGCGAGAGCGTTACCCTCAACTAACTCGTTTCGCAAATCACATCCAATTTTGAGGCACCTGCTGGTTTGACGACACAGCTACCGCAGTTCGCTTTCGCGGCACGCTGTCGTGAGCCCAACCGTACTTGGCACGTGGCAGCGTCAGTTGAGTACGGGTGGCGGGAAGCTATCCATACCTTTCGCTGTGCCAGAATCATAGCTGGCTAGACGAAATTCCACGTCATTTTTGCGTTCGTCATTCACGCCTCGACTTTTCTCATCCACCCGCACCGCATCCAGCTGCTCTAACATCAAGCCCAGAGAGCCACCGCAAACAGAAATTCCCTTCCGCCTATCCGCGGAAAGTCGCGATGATTCAGAAGCCACCGCAAACAGAAACTCCTCCCCGCTCATCGGTTGTTTCTATGCGCGCTCGCCTCGAATACTTGCGCTTCCGCCAGGTGCGGTTGCGCCCAATGCTGAAGTGCGCTAGCGCGAAGGGGAATTTCGCGACCTTCAGGAGGAAGCGCTGCTTTTGGGTTTGAGTTGTGGCTGGCATGAGTCAAGACCAGCACACGCTCCGTCACCTGCTCTCCCTCCCCCCTGCCCTCACCGCTGTCATACCCTCCCGCTGAGCTAAGCTCGACCTTTTTCGAACTTGCCTCGTCACTAGAACCAGTCCTTATACCTTTTTGTCTCGAGCCCCCAAGCCGCCGTTTTCGAATTGTCTTATTAACTCGACACAAACGCCGTCTGGGGCACTTTTTCTAAAGTAACCGCATTAGAATCTCAGCAAATTAAAAAAGAATTGCCGAACCTGGTGTACGGTAGTTAATTTGCGGACCACGTGGACTAGCTTTGTCAGAAGCATACATAAAAGATGGAGCGTGTATTCTCAGTAGACGATATTCTCGGCACGTTTTGGAAAGTAGACGCATCGGGCGATGCCGCTGCGGCGGCTTCCGCCGCCGCAGCTGCTGCAGCAACCGGCGGAATGTTCTCCCCTCCCTCTATGCTCCCCCCCGGCGGGGTCCCCTTCCCCGGCCATCCGCCCGGTGTGATCGGAGGGGGTGGTGGCGGTAGCGAGTTACAGCGGCCAATACCGCGTACAGGCTCGTTCCACCGTATGAACCGCAGCTCCTCGGAATGGGCATTTCACGAATTCGTTAAGGAGCAGGGCTTAACCGGAGTGGGAGCATTAGGAGCCGCCGCAATTGGCGGCGGGGGCGCCGCTGGCACGTCCGGTATGGGTCCGCCTGGAATGAACCCGTTAATTCCGGGTCTAAGCCAGGTTTCGAGTCTCGATAAGCTGCTAGGAGACAGTCCCTCGAAGCTCAACCTCGCGTCGTACTATCGCGGCTTAGACGGCGGAGCGGAAGGCGCGGGAGGCGCGGCGGGAGTGGGCGCAGGAGCGGGGGCGGGAGCAGGAAGCGGTGATGGCGCGGGGAAGCCGGGCGGAGACACAAGCGGGGAACAACAGCGGCTTGGGCTCATCGGGTTGGGGAGGGCCTCTGGGGGGGAGGCGGGAGCAGGGGCGCGGACGGATACAGAGGGGGGTGCTGCAGCTGGCGGCGACGGTGGCGGCTCAGCGGCCTCGGCTCCTGGGGGGGGTTCGGCAACTGTCGGTGGCGCGGGGTCGGCATCAGGCTTCTCCCCGCCGTCGGCGGCGCCCACTATGGCTCTCGCCCCAGGCGGCGCGGCAGCAGTCGCAAGCGGCGGCGGCGGTGCGGGGAGAAGAACAGCAGGCATAGCCAGCCCTCCTCGTCGTGGCTTTCAGGCCCATCCGCCCGCTCACAGACCCGCAACCCACGGCGCAACAGGCGCTACAGCACCCGGGGGAGCAGCCAGCGGGGGAAGAGGAGGTGGGGGAGCAGCAGGGGCAGGGTCCGCGCGCGGGCTTTCCTCCCGCGAGGCATCCGAAGAGCCGCGATCTGACGGCGAGGGCGCGCGGTCCGAAGGCGAGTACGAGTTAGTGGCGTCCCTAGAGCACCTAACGGACCCGGAGGAGATTAAGCGGGTGAAGCGCATGCTGTCGAACCGCGAGTCGGCGCGGCGGTCGCGGCGGCGCAAGCAGGCGCACGTGAGCGACCTGGAGGGGCACGTGCAGCAGCTGCAGGCGGAAAACGCGAGCCTGGCGAGCCGGCTGGGGGAGATTGGGCGGAAATACAACGAGGCGGCCGTTGACAACCGCGTGCTGAAATCCGACGTGGAGGCACTGCGCGCCAAGGTAAGGAGCGGATTAGGTTGAGGAGGGAGGTAAGGTAGGGAGTGGCTTGGGTCACGTTCGGAGGCGAAGCAGAGGAGTAGCTTAGGGCGGGTAGGTTTAGGCTCGCGAAATGTGGGGTTACGGTTGGGCTGGTTAAGGGTTTGGGAGTGTTGGGTGGATTGGACTAATGAGAAAAAAAAATGACTCATCACATCCTCTCTTTGCCTGTGGGTGTGCGTGCGTGTATGTGTGTGCATGCGCCTACCTGTGCCTCTGTGTGTGAATCTTCCTTCCTTTCCTTCATCTCAGGTGAAAATGGCTGAGGAGATGGTGGGACGGGTCGCCCACATGGCACAGTACATGTATCACCAGCCAATGGCGTTCCGCCACGACGCAGCCTCCGCCGCCGCTGCCGCTGCCGCTGCTGCTGCCATGCCATACCCTTCGCCCATAGACCTTCCCTACTATCCCCGGCCCCACCGTGCATCCCAACCCCCACCGGCGCCTTACCCCCTCCCTCCACATGCTGCCGCCCACGCCGCCCAGGCTTCTCATGCTGCCCATGCCCATGCTGCCCAAGCCGCCCACGCCGCCCAGGCCTCTCATGCCTCTCACGCCGCCCATGCGGCCGCTCTGTCCCTCGATCCACACCAAGCCAATGGGCCGCCGGCATCTGCCATGCACCCGAACCTTCTGCCGGGCCTGGGGTTACCGCCAGGCATGGACCCAAACGCGTATGGTATGATGCAGGCAGGCATGGTTCCGGCAGGTATGGTGGGGTCCATGCCTGGTGCCGTACCTGGAGGTGATGGCTCGGGAGGCATGGGGGCACCTGGTTCGTCCTCTGCTGCTGCTGCCCATGCTGCTTATGCCGCTGCTGTGGCAGCTGCAGGCGCAGCAGCATCAGCAGGAGGAGGAGGGGGATTAGTACCTGGTGCGACAGCAGCAGGGGGGGGTGTAGGAGGAGGGGGGGGAGGAGGAGGGTCGCCAGCAGCAGGAGTGAGAGAGGGGAGCAACGGAGGAGGAGCAGGGGGGGGAGCAGGGGCGGGAGCAGGAGGGGGGGGCGCCGGTGGCTCTCCTGCAGAGCCGACTGGAAGCGCCGGCGGAAAGATAGAACGATCCGGCAGTCTGCAGCGCGTTTCGAGCCTGGAGCATCTGCAGAAGCGGATGAGAGGGGCGGGAGCAGCTGACGTGTCAGGTGCCACGTCAGCAGCAGGAGGGGCGACAGGGGTAGGGGGAACGGTGGCGGGGGCGCCGGCAACAATGGCGGGGCATGAAGCAGCAGCGGCAGCGGCTGCGGCTGCAGCAGCGGCAGGGATGTGGGCGTTGGGGTGGCATGGTGCTGCTGCTGCAGGGGATGGGGCAGCAGCGGGTGGGGGAATGGGTGGGGGGATGGGTGCAGCGGGTATGTCTGGGCCCAGTGGAACGGGAGCAAGTGCGTGAGTGGTACATTGTATCGGGATTGGTATGGCATGGCACGTTACTTGCAGAAGAGTAGATGCAAGTATTGGGTCGGCATGGTGCGGGTGTTGCAAAAGGGTGGCTGCTCATTTTCGTGTGAGGTGTGGTGAGGAAGGGGCCTTTAATATTGATATGCCGCATGGCACAACATTGAGCATTCGTAGAAATGCCGAGCTTGTGCAACAAATTTTGGTTGCGTGTTGAAGTTTAGGGTGAAAAATCACTTTACGTCATGTAGCTGTAGCTTTTCTTGAGCTATCGGTAGATAAGAAAGGTGTGAATATGTGGCTGGATTGACAACTGATTCATGTTCAAATGATGCTTGCAGTATATGCATTTTGTATAGCAGAAGCTTCGTAGATGTACAGATGGCCATAATGGTTTGATCCATGGACTTTATATAAGCTTCTGTCAATATCATCACACCATCAACAGCACGGCGCACGTGCCCAGCCCCTTCCAGGTCATCTCACACACTTCCCTCGCCATAAGCAATGCTCGAATCGAGGCATTTCGCTGTTGCACACTCTGGCACGCCGTAACCCAGATTCGGCGCGCATTTCCCCAGGCAAGATGGCGATTCCCCCATTTATATGGAAAATGGAGAAGGCTAGAGGCTGAAGCGCAAAATATCAAGAGATGTGGCAGCTGACGCGGCGAGGCGTGATTGCTTTATATCGCTGTTCATTTACACCGTCATTTACGCTCGAGCTCGCATTGGTCAAAGCAGTTACCCCTCGAGAACAGCTTTCACTCAATTTCCCGGAACGCCCCCGCATCCCTTACAACCGAACTCGCGAAAACAAATCTCAAGGTTGCATGCAACGCATGAGGAAGTCCCATCCCAGGATCCTGTGATTTCATACCATTCCTACCGTCCTATCTCAACCCATTTTCAAATCTGCCTTGGTTGTTGCTCCTCTTCTCAACTGCTCCAAATCAGGAGCTACTGAATCCTGATTCCTGTTCAGGTCCTGCTTGCGTCTGGCATTCATCCATTGGTCTCTTTGTACTGAGATAGAAGCGCGTGGAAAATTCCCCCTTAGCTCTTGTGTAAGTCCGGACCAGTATTCGTTGCTCTCACGTGCTTCGCCGAGATGGAAGCCATTGCGAATTCCACCCGCGTACCTCAAGTAGCAGCCGTTGCCGGATCGGTTGCAGCCCAGACGAAGCAGAACGGAGCAGTTTCTAGCGTTGCTATCCCAAAGAAGAGCCCGTTTCTTGGAAACCGCGTCTCTGTTTCTTCCGTTTCGGCTGGAGCATCCAATGCTCGGAAATCCCTGAAAGTGACTGCAACTGTCGCTGACGGGATTCCCGCTGCTGGAACAGCGTCCGTTATTATTGAGATTGACAACTCCGAGCCTCAATGGACCATTGTCAAGCTTTCTGCTCTGAACCAGCCCGGATTGTTGAATCGTGTCACCTCAGTCTTCAGGTATGTGAATGTGAAGTGCTCTCAAAACTTCTTCATTCGCCGACCGGGAAGGATCTAACGCGTGGTGTTTTTGCAGGGATTTGAACGTCCAGGTGGTGAGGGCTCTGGTGGGTACTGCTGATGATGCAGTTCTGGATACCTTCTACGTCCAGAACGCTGCTGGTAACAAGATCGAAGATCCGGCTGAACTCGATGTGAGAAAGAAAGATTCATCGTTCTCAGACATTGTTTCAACTGCTGACCTTAATCAAGCACGCTTGCCTAACGCGTCCAGATATTGTAACATTGGGAATCCCAACAGCGTTATATCCGTTACAATCTCCATCACTTCCCTCATGTCCAAACAGGTTCTGAGGAAGGCTCTCGAGGTTTTGGCTGTCCCCGTGGCGTCTCCGCCAGCTGTGCGTCCCTCTGCGGTGCAGGTTGAGAGTCCCGTAGTGGACCTCCGCAAGCGGCTCAAAGACGTGTATCTGAGCAACGACGTGCTTTCCATTCAGGAGAGCATCGTGAACCACGTCGAATACACTCTCGCCCGTGATCGTCACCAGTACGTGAAAACCGCGGCTTCAAGAGGCAGCATCTTGAACCAGCTGCAGCAGCAGGAGCACCTCTTGTCGCATTCAGCAGGCTTTCTAGAGAATGCAGCGACCTGATGTGCTCGGCTCATTTGTTTTCCTTCTGTTTTTCTTTCTGGCAGTTTCGATTCGTATGAGTGCTACCAAGCAGTGGCTCACAGCGTGAGGGATCGTCTGATCGAGAGCTGGAATGACACCAACGAGCACTTCCGTGCGGCTGACCCCAAGCGCGTCTACTACCTTTCCATGGAATTTCTCATGGGTACGCGCAGTCAACGATAGTAATAATGAGTAACAGTAATAACCGGATCGCGAGCTCCACTGACTTTCGTTCGTCATCCTTTCTTTGTACAGGTCGGTCGCTGCTTAACAGCCTCTACAATCTCAACCTACATGATGTCTACGCTCAGGCTCTCTCACAGGTATTGTAATCTTGAAATTCACATGCCAGCATCTAGTTTGTGGCTTTTTCAAGAGATTGAAGTTTGCTATGACATGTTGGTGTTCCAATGCGCAGCTTGGGTACAAGCTGGAAGATATTGTGGAGCAGGAGCGTGATGCTGCACTCGGCAACGGTGGTCTTGGAAGGTAATGAGCTGCCGATATAGCTCAGCATAATGATTCTGCCCTATTCGTACGCAAGCGGATTGCTTTCGTGCAAGAGTTTAGTCACGCGGCTCTCTCACGCTCCTCTCCCGCGTTGGTTTGCAGGCTCGCAGCCTGCTTCCTTGACAGCATCGCCACCCTCGACCTACCCGGATGGGGGTACGCCTCTGATCTCTCTGACGAAAACTTAGAAGTCTTCTCTTTCAGTGCAGTTGCTGACGTTTTTCACTCGTTGGTTTTAGCAATGTCGGCAGGATGTCCGGAGGTAACATTGGTGTGATCTGGATTGTGCAGGTACGGCATTCGCTACCAGTACGGCATGTTCCGTCAGACCCTTGAAAATGGGTTCCAGCACGAGCAGCCCGACTACTGGCTCACCTTCGGCAATCCTTGGTACGCCCAGCGTCGTTTCACGGACCAAGTTTCTATCCGAAGATCACATCCGAGCTACCGATTTGTCCGTCGCTGTCACGACTTCGCGAATCTCAATTTAACCCTTTTGGTGTTGCGTATGCGTTGTGTGTTGTGCAGGGAGATTGAGCGGACTAACATTTCATACACTGTGAAGGTGAGCTTGAGCCGAGACTGCGAGCAAGAGCGAAGTTGAACAATGCAACGAGAAACACAAAGGAACAACAGCTCATGGGAAACCAGTCACTAAGCTGGCTCGAATTTGGTTCCATTATTGGGCTGAAGCAATGATATATTGAAGCACGAGATTAGCTGCTGGCTGGGCTCATCTGCCATAAAAATATCACCAACGCGTCGCATTCCATAAATCGCGTGCTTGCACCCTTTCATTTCGTGGTGGGCAGTTCTACGGCCACGTGGAGCAGTACACGGACAGCAGGGGCTACCAGCGCTTCAACTGGGTTCCCGGGGAGCAGGTACAGCCTCCACTTCCTCATCGTTTACTCTTATGTTTCGCCAGCGCTTTCAAAAAACCACATCTCAGTGTCTGGAGCACGCACATTCAAGCATCTTCGGCCATGTTTCACATCCCCTCTCTGATCGTGGTTGTAGGTCCAAGCTGTGGCGTACGACAACCCAGTGCCCGGCTACGGCACCAACAACACAATCAACCTGCGCCTGTGGGCCGGCAAGCCCTCCACAGAGTTCGATCTGCAGTCCTTCAACACCGGCGACTATGTCGCTGCCATTCTCTCCAAGTATGCCTCCTCTCCTGCATCATGCGCAGCTTGTTCATGAGATATTATCTCCATATCCCCCCCTCCCTCCCCCCCCACCCCCTTCTTTCCTTCCTCTTTTGATCCTCGTTCCTTCATTCGTTTCCACCCCCTTTCTTTCTCCGTTCCATGCCCGCTTTTAAAATCTTGTTGCTGTCCTGACGCACCTAACCAACGCTCGCCCCTGCAGGCAGCGCGCGGAGTCCATCAGCAGCGTGCTGTACCCCGACGATCGCAAGCCGCAGGGCAAGGAGCTGCGGCTGAAGCAGCAGTTCTTCATGGTGTCCGCCTCGCTGCAGGACATCATCCGCCGCTTCAAGCGTACCGAAACCGACTTCACCAAGCTCCCCGAGAAGGTTCGTCCATGTCGGCCTGCTTTCTCACGTCATTTGTGGCTTTCCTTTTTTTTTTTTAATCTCGAAACGCGGCGCGGTCACTTGCGCGAATTTCCAGTCCGCAGCTTGTCGTGGTGAACCTTCCCCGCTGCTAACCGCTACTCTCCTGCTCTTCCCCCCCCTTCCCCGCCCTCTCTCCCCGCGTCCCTCTCCCGTTCCCCCCTCTTCCCCGCTCCCCCCCTTCCCACACCACTCCACTCCCCCCCTTCCCGCACCACCAATTCTCCCAACGTTATGCGTGCCTTAACCAGGCGGCGATGCAGCTGAACGACACGCATCCGACGATCAGCGTGGCGGAGCTGATGCGGCTGCTGATGGACGAGGAGGGGTTGGGGTGGACGCTGTCGTGGCAGATCACGCAGAAGGTCTTCGCCTTCACCAACCACACCGTGCTGCCCGAAGCCCTCGAGAAGTGGCCCGTCAGCCTCATGGAGAGCCTGCTGCCCCGCCACATGCAGGTGAGTGGGGCAGGAGGGTTGGGGGGCGGCTTCTCACTGGATTCTTCGTGGAGAGGTGTCTGGGTGCCTCGATGTTGCGATGCGTATTTCTCTGCATTTCTCACTCCCGCTGAAACAATGTGTGCGCTGGAAACGGTCGTGTTCTAAAACGCTCCGCGTTTTTTTTGGATCTCCTGACTCGGCCCTTCATTGTGCGCTTTGGCCGTGTGGTGGTTGCGCAGATTATCTACCAGATCAACTTCGAGTTCATGCAAAAGGTGAAGTCGCGCTTTGGCGACGACTTCTCGCGCTCGTCTCGCATGTCCATCATCGAGGAGGGCGATGTCAAGGTGTGTGACGCGGTTGGGAGTGAGGAATCCGAGGTTTGATACAGGTGTGTCAGGCGAGAGTTGAGGGGCAAGGCTGGGAGAGGCGTGGAACATTCGCAGAAAGTTCATTTCAAAGGTGCTCAAAAACACTTCCTGGTGGTAGCGAGACGTTCGCCATAAATGCGTTAGATGGGAATGCAGTGAGTGACTATCCCTCCCTCGCCGTACGAATGGCAGAACGTGCGCATGGCGAATCTGGCGATCGTGGCGTCACAGTCTGTCAACGGCGTGGCGGCCATTCACTCGGAGCTCATCAAGCAAACCATCTTCAAGGTACCAACACACCCGTCTAAACCAGCACATGGTTCGCTGTTCAAATCGTCAACCCTTTCCTCGCCCTGTTGTCAAAACCTTTCTCCTCTGTGAAGGATTCTCAGTGTTTCTGTGTCACAAGAGATTGCATGATATCTTGTCGTCTTTTCTCTGCTCTTTCCCCTGCTCCCGTCCCCTGCTCGGTTCCATGCCTTCTCCCCTGCTCCGCCCCCTGCTTGTTTCCGTGCTCTTTCCCCTGCTCCGTCCCCTGCTCGTTCACATGCCTTTTCCTCTGCTCTGTCCCTTACTACTCGTCCTGCAGGAATTCTATGAGCTCTGGCCCCAGAAGTTCCAGAATAAGACAAATGGAGTCACCCAGGTCAGTTGCTGTATTCTCGTGTTAATTTTTTCCTCGTGAATGCCTCGTGGCAACTCTTCCCGTTGGATCCATACCACCCTGCCAATGATGTACTACGTCCATCCATCCTGTCTCCTCCGCTGGCCTATGTAGCCCCTCATCATGTGCAGCGACACAGGCTGCCTGCTCAGTCCCAGCACCTAAACCTTAAAGCTCACCCCTATCTACTCGACCCCAAACCTACTCGTGCACCCTTGCATCGTCCCTAGCTGGCGCTCTGCTCCCCACCCCTTTTCGCGTCAACAACCTAAACCGCTCGCCCCTCTCAATCAACCCTAAACCCTACCTTCCCCCCACTCCTTCCCCCGCAGCGGCGCTGGCTGGCGTTCTGCAACCCGGGGCTGCGCGATTTGGCGGACGAGGTGGTGGGGTCGGACGACTGGGTGTCGGACCTGGAGAAGATCAGGGCGCTCAGGGGCAAGGCGGAAGACGCTGCCTTCCAGAAGCGCTGGAGAGAGGTGCGATTGGACTTTAGGCAAACAGTTTAGCCTTTACGTGCAGATTGGCACAGAGCCTCGATTGTTCTGCTGTGAACAGTTCGATCTTTCCACAATGCCAATCTGCGCTGCACGTGTCCCTGTTGTGCTGTGGTGGTTCGTTGAGCTGAGATGCAATTTGATATGGTGTGTTATATGCATGCCAGAGATCGTTACATGCACAAGGGTCACGCGCTAACTCCCTCACGCAACAACTCCCCTCCCCCTCTACGCGCTTTCTGCCTGGATGTCTTTTCTTGTGTACCGTCATCTGCAGGTAAAGCAGCAGAACAAGCAGAAGCTCGCAGATGTCATTCTCAAGCTCACTGGTGTCAAGGTGCGTGCTGCTGTCGCTGCTGCTGCCCTTGCGCCTTTTCTCCTCTTGCATGTTGGCTTCTCTCTGTTGTCAAAATACTTCCGTCCAGCTACTTTCATCATATCGACGAAAAAAATCATGGTATCCTCAGGGTCTGCGTTGTGTCACATGTTGTGGTGATGTGATGCGTTGTGTGTCTTACATGGACGACATATCTTACATTGTGTGGCATGTTGGCATGACATGGGATGGCGTGGGATGGCATGGCATGGCTTGGGGTGGGATGGGATGGGATGGGATGGGATGGGATGGCATGGCATGGCGGGTGGCAATGTGAGCAGGTGAGCACGGAGGCGCTGTTTGACATTCAAGTGAAGCGCATCCACGAGTATAAGAGGCAGCTGCTCAACGTGCTATCTGTCATCCACCGCTACGAAGAGATCAAGGTACGTCCCATTGTAATGAAAACCAAGGATTTAATGCAGACAGAGCAGATTATGTCCTTCGGGTTCACTGCAGAACAAATAAGGCCTTTGTCATGCAGAAAGACCAAACCATGTACCTCTTCTTAACTGTAATACTTTCTGACAACACAATGCTCACCTTTTCACGGCTTGTCTCTGCTTTCCCTCCCCGTCCCCACCCTTCTCCCACCCGTCTTCCCCGCTCCCTTCCCACCCGCCCTCTCTCCCACAATCATCTCTCACTCTCTCCCCTGCCATCCCCTGTGCACGACAATTTTTAGTCTATTCATAATCGCTCCATTCCCACCCTTTGTATCACCCCTCACCCCCACCCCCTGCCGTTCCCAGCGCATGTCATCGGAGGACAAGTGCCGGGTGGTGCCGCGAGTGGTGCTGCTGGGCGGCAAGGCAGCGCCGGGGTACGAGATGGCGAAGCGCATCATCAAGCTCATCAGCGCCGTGGGGGAGAAGGTCAACAACGACCCCGCTGTGGGCGACCTGCTCAAGCTCGTCTTCCTGCCCGACTACAACGTCTCGCTCGCTGAGATCATCATCCCCGCCAGCGACCTCTCGCAGCACATCAGGTATGCTCACTTAAGGTGGGCTCTCTGCCTATTATCTTGCCTAACAGATAGGTATGTAGAACCCTTACAAACCCGGGGTATAAAGTGCCCGTACCTCGTGTCTTGCCCTCCTGTCCCCCCATCCAATCCCATCTCGTATTCTCCCTCCTGTTCTCTCATTTCAACCTCTTGAGAATGACATGCATACTCTTTTGCTGTTCGTGCTGTGTTGCCCCCCCTCCCGCTCCGCTCCCCCCTGCGCTCGTCCCTCACCCCTCACAGCACGGCGGGCACGGAGGCGAGTGGCACGTCCAACATGAAGTTTGCCATGAACGGGGGGCTTATCATTGGCACCATGGATGGTGCTAACGTGGAGATTGCGGAGGAGATCGGCGAGGAGAACATGGTGCGTACAGGGGGGTTATATGAATGTGTTGAAAACGGTGGTGGGCTGGGGAGGCTGGGTTGCGGTTAAGGTGAGCTGTTGGTGGCAGTTGGCGGTTGGGGGTTGATGGTTGGTTGGGGAAGATGGCAAGTTGGGAGGTGGTGGGTTGCATTTCAAGCTTGCGGCTGATAATCAGGAATAATGGGGATTGCACGCTTTCTTCACTATCCTCACCAAACTTCGTCCCCATTGTTGTCTTTTATGACTCTCCCCTCACCACTCCGCTCTCCCATGCCATCAGTTCATCTTTGGAGTGCGAGAGCACGAGGTTTCGCGCCTGCGCCGCGAGCGGCCAGGCTACAACCCAGACGGTCGCTTTACCAACGCTGTCAAGTAAGCCCTACTAGCTCTTTCAGACAAGGCAGATGAATCTCAGGGAAAGTGATTGAAAGGCCTACCATGCCATTGCACAAGCCTCGCACCTCCCAGCTGTTCGATTCTCTGCCATGTCTCACCCACCAGTACTCCAACCACACACTGCTTCCAGCCGTACCAATCAGTAAATGATTCAAATGTCAAATAGGACAGGAATTTCTGCCTCATCCACCAACCCAATTCCTTCTCTCCCTCACCTTCTCTGTCCTGCTCTGTTCCCCACAGCATGATCCGCAACGGCCAGTTTGGGTGGGTGGACTACTTCGCCCCGCTCGTGCAGTCCCTGGACGGCCCCATGGGTGGTGACTTCTACCTCCTCGCCAACGACTTCCCCTCCTACCTCCAGGCCCAGGTACGACTTTGAGGCGCATCGAAAGTTACCTCCAGGCCCAGGTACGACTTTGAGGCGCATCGAAAGTTACCTCCAGGCCCAGGTACGACTTTGAGGCGCATTGAAAGTTACCTCCAGGCCCAGGTACGACTTTGAGGCGCATCGAAAGTTACCTCCAGGCCCAGGTACGACTTTGAGGCGCATCGAAAGTTACCTCCAGGCCCAGGTACGACTTTGAGGCGCATCGAAAGTTACCTCCAGACCCAGGTGCTCCCAACTCTCTGGCTGAGGACTAGTATGCCTCACACACTGGAATAGAACTAGGATGCCCCACCTAAAAAAAAGGGCCGGGCACTCTCCTTTGCAGTACCTGCTCGCCAACCACTTCCCTCCAGGCCCAGGTACACCCTCCTTGCTTGCTCCAATCTCCCACTTTCACAGAACTGCTGTGAGGCCTCCATTTGCCAGGTTGACTCAGGATCCCCTAGTCTGACTGCTTTCCATCTGTGACACAGTGCTTGTAATCTGAGCTGGAGTTGAGCTCCCAGCGCATCTACTGCAGACTCCCCCTTGCCTTCACCCTTCAATCCCAATTTGCACACCTCCCACACAGGCCAAGGTGGATGCGACATGGTGGAACAGGATGAGCATTCTGAGCACAGCAGGCATGAGCAAGTTCAGCAGCCTGGGCTCTCTAATCTCCTTGCTCATATCTCTCTTTGATGCTCTCCCTGCACGACCCATGCCAGGCTAAGGTGGACGAGACGTGGAGGAACAAGGGGCAGTGGGAGAAGATGAGCATTCTGAGCACAGCAGGCATGAGCAAGTTCAGCAGTGATCGCACGATTGCCGAGTATGCCAAGGACATCTGGCACGTGCAGGCCTGCAAGCTTGACGTTGAGGCTGCTGCTGCTGCTAAGGAAGCCAAGAACAAGAATGCCAACTGAACTGAACTGAACTGATAGTGAATTGGAACTTAAATGAAGTGCGTTGTAAGAGACAGTTGCATGTTTCGAATGAGCTGGCTGTGATGGGCATAGCAAACGTTTGCATTAGATGGTAACATTAATGTTGTGAAGTTTTCAGTACCACACCCCTACATTGGTTAACTCGCGGTATAACACACACCATGCCACGCTGCCGCATGGACTGTATGATTTTAAACGCCCACACCACTGACACACCTCTCCTGTCCACTCACCCACCCTAAGGGTTCAGCCGCCATCCCTCTCGCCCTCTCCACCCATGTTGAGAGTTTAAGCCCCCCTTCCCCTTCCCCACTCACCCACACACTTAGGGATTTCAGCCCCCGCCCCTCTCTGCACTCTCCCACCGTATGGCATTCAGCCCCAATCCCTCTGTCCTCCCACTACCCACTTTAGAGGAATCAACCCACCCCTCTCTCCACTCACCCATCCTAGGGCTTTCAGCCCCCATCCCTCTCTCCCTCTCTTCCCATCTTAAGAGTTTCAACACCCATTCCCCTTCCCCAATCACAAACCCACCTTAGAAATTTCAGCCCCCATCCCTTTCTCCCACTCACCCACAGGATTCAGCCCCATCCCTCTCTCCTCCCACTCACCCACGGCGTTAGGGGATTCAACCCCTATCCCTTCTCTCTCACCCATTCACCTTGGGGATTTCCATCCATGTGCCTCGCACACCTTCGGAGGGGCACATCTGCTGATGGACGTCGGTTGCCCACAAATCCTGTTTTTATTGCGACACATCCCCCCAGCACCTGTTTTCCCCAACCTGACGCCTCGTCCCCTCAAGGACGGGAGGAGAGCCTTGGGAGGAGCGCATTGTCAATGAATCTCCGCCGCGCTATGTGCTGCAAGGAGGGGAAGCGCGGGAGTCCCAAAAACCCGCGGAAGGCGCGGAAGTGCCGGAAGTCGAGGGGGTGGCGGAAGGCGCGGGGGTGGCGGAGGTCGCGGGGATCTGAGCAACGCGGAGTGGCTCGAGCGGAGCGAGTCGCCCACATGCATTGGATGCATTTTGGCGCGCGCGTGCACCCATGCTTTATTGGTCGATATGCGCGGGCGCGAGTGGAACGAGATCGGCGTCAGGGGCTATCCGTGCGAAGGGCCATATCGGCAGGACGAGAGGACGGCATTCAGCCTGCGGAGTAGGGGCGTCAAGCAGGGCGCAGAGCACGAGAGAGGATGACTGGACGCATTGTTCAGGGAAAATATGAGGTGTGAGGGTGAGGGGATGGAGCCTGTTGGCGTGGCAACTTGTTCTTGATAAGAGGTGCTCCGGTATAATAGTATACGCTACCAGCAAATTTAGAAATTAACCATGAGCAGGGAGCAATGCATTCTGAGAGTTGAATGAGGTGGGGAAGTGGGGATTTGCTGTTACCACTCAAAGAGAAAATGTTTGTTCAAGCATTTGGGAGGGACGATTCGACTGTGGATTCTCGTGTACAATGTACAGTACAAGTATCTTACAACAGAACGGATAGCTACAAAAAACAGAACGTTTGTTTTTTGTCAGAACGTTGGGGGTTTTGGATAAAACAAAGGGCGGATATGTTTGTTTGTTTGTATTGTTCTCTCCCAGAAACAGCCACCGCAGTCCAGTTGATTTTTCTGGCTTGAATAGAAGGTACTGCGTTGTGCTGTTCACCTACGACGAGATGATGCCAAGCAACGCCTCCGTAGAGGTTCGGCGCCACAGTGCACGCTACAGCCCACGCCGTTCATCACTTCAACACAGACAAGTGGTGAAAATGTGGGGCACAGCACTGAAAGAAAGTTCCACCGAAAGCACGCAGATAGTTACTGGAATTGGGACAGGCCAATACACCTGAGAAATTGTTTCACCCTACAAACTGGCTCCCGATATTCTTAGCATAATATACAAGCCAACTTATCCAGTTGTTTTATTATAAGTACATGGACCACATGAAATGAAATTGCACACTCGCATATTTTTTTCTCTCACCGGCTATTTTCAGAGGGGCACAAGTTTCTGTCTTTTCTTCTACTGTGTCAAGCACGTGGCAAAGCAGAGCACGTGGCAACTGTGTTATGAATCATTGAAGAACGCCCTCAGATGATGTCTTAATCGCGCTGTCCGAAAGCTGCCCCATGGGTGTCGCAACGTGAGTCGTCGTGTTTTCATACACTAGAAAATCGACAAGAGCGTCCTTGCGCTCACCTTCCAAGACTACGCCAGCTGTACAAGCCAATTATGAGGCTCACATGATAGACACGAAAACATCCAAGCAGAAGTTTCGCTCGGAGTTTCATTCTTCAACACTTTTCCCAGACTTCTACATTGTACACCCTCTTTCTCGCCACACTGTCGTCGGCCATATTGACAGACCGGCTGTACTGACATCAATGCGTTCAGAATGATCCCAGAACATACCATATATGCACATCTTCCCGCACTCAACCGTACTCCAAGACAAGTTTTATTCTATATACCTTTATGTACCGTTCTCATGGAATGCATTTGCCCGCCACCCACCTGGGGTTCGGTTGCAAGCACCAGATCGCTAGGATCTAAGCAACAGTACGCACTGTAGCCAGTGCTTCCCATTGTTAGTCTGGCGAGAAAAAGGGTGTAACACTGTCGATTGTAGATACATGTATGTGTCTGCCTTTTGCTTGGAGGACATTCCCAAACTTGCTTCCCTTTTTTTTATTTTAAAGGGTGAACACAATCAACCATCAAACCGTTTGTTCCTTACCAACGTCTTATTTGCTGGGATACGCAGTCAAAACCGAGTGCGAAATTTTCAGAATCGTAATCCTACCGAACAACTATAATGACCGAAGTCGACCTCAACAGTTTCTCGTCATCGGAAGCAGAAAGGCAAGTGTATTTTTTCACAGAACCTGACTATACCAATTTTAGTAAGAAGTGTATTATTATTAATGCCGTAGGGAGTGTGAACGGGTGAGATATGCTGATGCTGGGTAGGTAGGAATGCGCACACTTATCTCCTACACTCAAGAATGATCGGGGAAAACAATTAATACTGGTGGTCCATGAACATCGTATTTACGACAAAACAGCATTGATAAGCTTGACGCGTCCGACCACATACGCAGCCGTGTACACCCTAATGCTCATCCAAAAGCTCATTCTGAACAATGCCATTCCTACTCCATACGCCCAGTGGTCGACATTCCCAGCCGGCCCGACCGTTACAGGCCCACGACAAGAGCAAGTTATTCGAGTTTCACAGAAAAGACACGCTAGGCTACCCAAATACAGTCCCATTCTCCCCATGGGGAGTGTGTGCTCGAGAGAGGAGCACAGGGAAAGATGGGCAACGAGACTGAAATATGCATCAGGTGTAACTGCCCAGTCCGTCAGCTGTCACTGCGATTGAAGTGCATCATACTTTCTTGTCTTTTTGTTGCATGGACAACATCCTCAGTCCCTAGAGTGACATCTGCACTGTAGCAACCGTATGGAACGTGGACGGGTGCACGTGAAGCCGCTCCATCAAGCGCGTCTGAGGGGCTAGGTGTGGGTGGCAGGCAGCCTCGGTGTGTGGTCGGTTGAGACGACGCCCATGTAGGTTCGGTTTGGATAAAACTAGGTATGGTTCGGTACGGTATCAAGCCCTTTCTACAGACGTCTCACCAGCCAAACCATCGCCCTACTACTACATTCCCCTCATCAACCTCTCGGTGTGGTCGGGGAGGCAAGCCCCGAGAAGAAAAGACAGTGATTGGCCGGGCGACTTCCAGGGCCCCACCCACACATCCATTCGCCAGCAACAGTGTCACCATGGACTTACCCGTCCATCCCTCCCCCTAGTCAGTCACCTTCGCGAGCCGGGCATTTTTTCCCTCCCACACTCATCCCGCAATTCTCTGCGCTTCGGCTGTGCCCCTCACCCCTTTCTTTCGAGCTCACAAATCCCCCCAAAGACTCCCCGTCACTCCAACTCCATAAAGGCCAGCCCAGCTGTGGTTCCTCAGCAGTATTCACCCAGAAAAATCGTAGCAGATTTGCTTCTGAGAATCCCAGCCTGGCAACTTCACCTTCCCGTCACGACTCGTGAACCATTGGATTGTGCAATCTCTCTCGCCATGGGTGTCAGTCTATCCGAGCTGTTTGCGCTGGGCCCTGCGGCAACTCGTCGCGAGCAACGCACAAATGATTCCGACCTCGCACACCCCGACGCGCTATCCAAGAAACGCAGGATAATCGAGAACCTTAACTTTCCCCCAACTCACGCCGCATTCGACTCCAATGCGCTCGCGCCCCCGTCCGCGAACCCATTCGTTCCCTCCGCCACTCCCGCCGCCGCCGCTGCCGCAGAAAGCGCGCCCAAGCAGATAGACTTCTTCAAGGCGCGGGAAGATACGGATGCGCTACCCGGGGCAGAAGAAGCTTCCAACAGGCCGTCGTTGAGCGATCTGGGAGAGGATCTCCTGTTGAAGATTCTGCAGGAGGGACAACCGACAGCATGGGATCTGTGTCGCTATGCGTGCGTGAACGCCACGTGGCGGAAGCTGTGCTACAGCCGGGTGTTCTGGACCAAGCTGCGCATCGGCCCGGGCAGCATGCATGCGGGCGTCGAGCAATTAGCGCCGCGTTGCGCGCAGCTGACGGATTTATTCATCGACGACCCGCGCTGCGAGCTGCACGTGCTGCACCCGATTATAGTCTCGTGCGGCGAGTCGCTTCGTCACGTGGTTATCGACTGCGATCAGGACAGCACGAGCCGGAACGAAGCGTCCATTTGCAGTATTTTATGGATTATTTCGCTCTATTGCAAGCAGGTTCAGACCATCGAGCTGACGTCAGGGGGGGTAGAGACGTCGTTCGGGGCTCTTGAGACGCGGTGCATGTGGTATCTCACCTCGGGCTTCCGAAACGTGCGACATTTCGCGAGCCTTTCGCGAAACAGCGTTACGAAGCAGGCGATTTACCTCATGGTGATCGCGTGGAGGGACCTGACGTGCCTGCGAATTCACAACGGCGGGCTCGAGGTCGACGATCTTTTCGCGCTTCGCAAATGCGCGGGCTTGCGACTGCTTGAGCTCTTCGGCGGATCGATTCAAACCCCCGGCGCTCTCGCGAACAGCTGCCCTTTCGCAGCAGCGTCGGGCGCGACTGTTTTCCATCGCGAGCTCGAAGTTTTGGTTCTGACCGACGTAGATTTCGACGCCGGGGCAATTGCGACGATCGCGCTGCACTGCCCGAAGCTGCAAAAGATTATCGTGAAGGGCGTGTGCTGCCATGCGTGCGGGAGCAAGGTTGCGCGCGGCGGGCCTGAGGGCGAGAAAGCCGCGGAGGCTGCGAGTGCCTGTGCGAAACAGAAGGTCGCGCTGCTGCGACAAATTCTGTCGCTGGCCGACAGGTTGGAAGTCTTGATGCAGTGATACGCTTTACAGGGATTGACATGATGAATTCGTTAGCGGGTTTGGATCCACGAGCTGCGTCAGCCCTCTTGGTGATGCTGCTCCATCGGGAGGCCAGCTATTGGCCGAAGAAACTGGGGATGCTTCTTTATTGCATTTTTTGTCTACATGTGTTTAAAACCGAAATATAAAATAGTGAAGGCGGATCCAACTTGAAATCGTGCTCGGAAGAAGCAAAACTGGAACGACGATGGGCTGTGTAAAACACTGTTCCGGGCATCGCCCTTCCACAGAGTGAACACACGTGATTTGTTCCCGCCAAAAAAAAAAAAAACAGATCGTGCTCGAGCGTTCGCATTTTCTGCATGCGACATTTGCACGACAGTTGTTTGTCGTGCGTTTTGATGGTTGGACCCGACTTCGACTTTCAAGCTGGGCCTGGGTTCCACATATGCTTACTTCAACTCCATTCACGTAGCTTGCCTAACTCACGGAGCTTGCCTAGCATAGAATAGCCAGAGACGAGGGATTAGGCTGATGCCAGGCAGGGTCGTCCCTAGGGTCTGAGGTATGTCTGACGCATCAGATGGGTCCCCCGGGCAAAAAAAAATGTTTGTCTGATGGTGACTGGCCCATCAGATTTATCCAAAAAAACATGTCTGGATATCAGCCAAACAGACAAAAAAATTTTGCTAGCGACGACCCTGATGCCAGGGCTCTTGCTAGGATCTGAGGGCGTCTGATTCTGTCAGACGGGTCCCCTAGGCAAAACAATTGTTTTGTCTGATCTAGATTGGAAAATCAGATGGACATAAAAAAATGAGTCTGAAAATCAGACCATCAGACCAAAATGGTCTGATAACGAGAGCCCTGGCTGATGCGGCATAGAAATGAAATTATCATTAGATTGTTTGTGATACTTCGTCGCCGTTGCTGCGTAGTGATATTTTCCTCGCGATCACAGAGAACCCCATTCCCGTCGCCATTCCTCTCACCCCTCTCATCGCCCACTATGCTATCCACGAGTTCGCCAAATCGCCCACCCGTCTCCCTTTCCCTCGCCCGTCACGTCACCATCTCGTCGCCCGTCCCGTCGCCCTCTTCGTCGCCCTCTCTCCCCCCCTCTCCTCCCGTCGGCCTCTCTCTCGCCCCTCCCTACCGATCGCCCTCCCGTCGCTCGCCCCGTCGCGCTCTCTCTCTCCGCTCCCTTCCCGTCGCCCTCTCTCTCGCCCCTCCCTTCCCGTCGCGCTCTCTCTCTTCGCGCCCTTCCCGTCGCCCTCTCTCTCGCCCCTCCCTTCCCATCGCTCTCTCTCTCTCTCCGCTCCGCCCTCTCTCTCGCTCCTCCTTCGAATCGCGCTCTCTCTCCGCTCCCTTCCCGTCGGCCTCTCTCTCCGCTCCCTTCCCGTCGCGCTCTCTCTCTCCGCTCCCTTCCCCTCGCCCTCTCTCTCGCCCCTCCCTTCCTGTCGCGCTCTCTCTCACCGCTCCCTTTCCGTCGCCCTCTCTCTCGCCCCTCCCTTCCCGTCGCGCTCTCTCTCTCCGCTCCCTTCCCATGGCCCTCTCTCTCGCCCCTCCCTTCCTGTCGCGATCTCTCTCTCCGCTCCCTTCCCGTCGCCCTCTCTCTCGCCCCTCCTACCCGTCGCGCTCTCTCTCTCCGCGCCCTTCCCGTCGCCCTCTCTCTCGCCCCTCCCTTCCCATCGCGTTCTCTCTCTCCGCTCCGCCCTCTCTCTCCGCTCCGCCCTCTCTCTCGCTCCTCCCTTCGAATCACGCTCTCTCTCCGCTCCCTTCCCGTCGCGCTCTCTCTCTCCGCTCCCTTCCCATTGCCCTCTCTCTTTCTGCTCCCTTCCCATCCTCCCTTCTCGCTCGCCTCGAATAGCCCTCCCGGGGACCTTCGACTCTCCCATCACGTATGCCCTCCTTTCTCCGTCGCCTCTCTCGTTCTCCCTCTGCTATCGTGTCAGCGCGACCCATTCCGTACTCTGTTATTGTGTTTGGTTTGTTTGTTTTTTCTGTCTTTCCATCTACTGGTACTCTCGACACCCTCTCTCCCGCCGCCTATCCTCTCTCCCGTCGCCTATCTTTTCTCCCGTCGCCCTCCCGTTTCCCGTCGCCCTCCCGTTTCCCGCCCCCCTCCCGTTTCCCGTCGCCCTCCCTTTTCCCGTCGCCCTCCCGTTTCCCGTCGCCCTCGCGTTTCCCGTCGCCCTCCCGTTTCCCGTCGCCCTCCCGTTTCCCGTCGCCCTCCCGTTTCCCGTCGCCCTCCCTTCTTCCGTCGCCCTCCCTTTTCCCGTCGCCCTCGCGTTTCCCGTCGCCCTCGCGTTTCCCGTCGCCCTCGCGTTTCCCGTCGCCCTCCCGTTTCCCGTCGCCCTCCCGTTTCCCGTCGCCCTCGCGTTTCCCGTCGCCCTCCCGCTTCCCGTCGCCCTCCCGTTTCCCGTCACCCCCCTTCTTCGGTCGCCCTCCCGTTTCCCGTCGCCCCCCTTCTTCCGTCGCCCTCCCGTTTCCTACGCCCTCCCTTCCCGTCGCCCTCCCGTTTCCCGTCGCCCTCCCTCTTTCTCTTCATTCGCTTCACCTTGCCCATCGTAATTTCCCCCCTAGTGCTGTTTTTCTCTTCTGTTTCCCGTTATTGCACCTCTCCCAGGCCTCAAGTCCAAGGCAACACATTGATCAGAGCTCTACTAGCTCTAATAACGTTCAAACACTTTCACTCTCATCACGTACATGTGTGTCTGCTTGGGATTTAGCGTGAGATGTTGCTAGTTGTGAATTTGGTGAAGTAATGGCTCTAGTGAATGCAGGAGTGCTCATCGCTCAACTTTGCGCCAAATTCGCACATGTGTATGTGAGAGAACCTGGCTGCCAATCAGAATTGACAATGAACTATCGCTCCTGGTCCAATAAGAAACTCTTCCGAGGGTCGGAAAAAAAAGCACACATACAGCCATTCCAACATTCCAAAACAAAACAAAAATGCTTCATCTTCAAGTGGACCCAACTAGAAGGGGGGGGTCACTATTTTGCCTGCTGGCTTTAAGAATTTGTGACTAATCATGCAGAGTCTCCAACCATAGCTCTGAATAGCCCATCTGGATATGAGTGATACGGAATATGAGGTGCATAGGCACATTGCAGGCTGGAATACGCTGCTTTTACCATGTAACCAGAAGCATTTCGTTCCATCAAAGCTAAGGGACCTAATTGTCTTCCGTTCCCTGCCCTTCAAACTGCCCTAATCCTTCGTAACTGCCCGGAAAACTGTCCCGGTTTGGCGAGAGTGAGACCACGGGCCTCTGGCGAGCAAGGGAGCGTGGGAGAGGGGCGAGTAGATTGGAAGAGGCAGGGGACGCTGCGGGTGAGGGCTGGGGGGAAGGCTGCGAGGAGGGGTGTGTGCGGTCGGTTGGGGGTTGAGGGATGGAGGGTTGTGAGGGCATCAAAGAGGAGTTGGGTGGGAGAGAAGAGACTCGCAAGATGTTGGCGTGCCCATTTGACTCTAACCCTGCACGCGACCCTTGGGATTTCTCAAGACTTCGTTCATTCCCACACCCTGCAAGCACCTCACACCCGCCATGGGCCCATGGGAGACCGCTGGATTGATCAAGGCATGGACGCACCTCAGAACCACCCTGCACTGGTGGTAACCCTGTTACAGAGGTTGTCTCATTGGCGGTTTGAGCTGATTGCAAGTGAGCGTCGGAACGAGTGACAGCAGCAGCAGCTGCTGCTGCAGTAGGCGCGGAGTGGAAGAGAGAGGAGGGGGACGGTTGGGTGTGCCCCAGATGGAACCCGTAAAAAGTTTCCGTCACCTGCCCGGTGACCTCCCCTTCCCAGTCGTACCCAGCCCCTGCTGCAGCAGGCTCAGCACAACTCCTCTTAGTGCCGAAAACCCCACCTTCCCCCAGCCATTGCCCTCTTCTCCTCTTCCCACCTGGATTTCCCGCTCCTCCAGTCATCACCCCTTCCCCAGGCCCGCCCTCCCCACCGCTCTCCTCCATCCGCTCTCTTCTCTCCTCGTTCCCCCAGCCCTCCCCCCCCTCGCCTCCTCTGCCTCCTTCTCCCCCTTCCTCCCCACAGTACACGCTATCTACAACAGCAGGGCTCATGGGGCGGCAACTGGGCAGCTGAACATCCACAACTTTTCGCGCCGGGCAGCCCGGAACGGAACAACCGAAATAAAACCTGGCAGGGTTGAGGGAAGGTGGGACAGGAAGTGGCTTTAGTTGAGATTGCAATGGGCGGGCACATGACACATGATTCATCACAGATATTTAGAGTTATTATTCTATATGGCATGTGCAACCAACTGGAACAGCGTTGTAAATGAGGACTCAACTCAGACAAAATTCGCATACCCTTCTGAACCCCACCCCGGTGTGCAACACCCCACCCCCTCCCCACCCCCTCCCCACCCCCTCCCCGCCCACCTCTCCATGCGCCCACCCACCTCTCCATGCGCCCACCCACCTCTCCATGCGCCCACCCACCTCTCCATGCGCCCACCCACCTCTCCATGCGCCCACCCACCTCTCCATGCGCCCACCCACCTCTCCATGCGCCCACACACCTCTCCATGCGCCCACCCACCTCTCCATGCGCCCACCCACCTCTCCATGCGCCCACCCACCTCTCCATGCGCCCACACACCTCTCCATGCGCCCACCCACCTCTCCATGCGCCTGCCTGTGGCAGCGTGGGTGATCTCCTTCCGTCCTGTCTCTGTCCATGCTGCCTCCCCTGCTCCCTGGCCGGCCGGGCTGGGGGAGGAGGAAGAGGGAGAAGGTGGAATGAGAAAAAAGTGGGAGAAGGGAGAATGGGGGGAACCAGATGCTGAGTTGAATGGTAACGCCGAGAAGGGAGAAGATGGCATGGGGGGAACCAGATGCTGAGTTGAATGGTAATGCCGAGAAGGGAGAAGATGGCATGGGGGGAACCAGATGCTGAGTTGAATGGTAATGCCGAGAAGGGAGAAGATGGCATGGGGGGAACCAGATGCTGAGTTGAATGGTAATGCCGAGAAGGGAGAAGATGGCATGGGGGGAACCAGATGCTGAGTTGAATGGTAATGCCGAGAAGGGAGAAGATGGCATGGGGGGAACCAGATGCTGAGTTGAATGGTAATGCCGAGAAGGGAGAAGATGGCATGGGGGGAACCAGATGCTGAGTTGAATGGTAATGCCGAGAAGGGAGAAGATGGCATGGGGGGAACCAGATGCTGAGTTGAATGGTAATGCCGAGAAGGGAGAAGATGGCATGGGGGGAACCAGATGCTGAGTTGAATGGTAATGCCGAGAAGGGAGAAGATGGCATGGGGGGAACCAGATGCTGAGTTGAATGGTAATGCCGAGAAGGGAGAAGATGGCATGGGGGGAACCAGATGCTGAGTTGAATGGTAATGCCGAGAAGGGAGAAGATGGCATGGGGGGAACCAGATGCTGAGTTGAATGGTAATGCCGAGAAGGGAGAAGATGGCATGGGGGGAACCAGATGCTGAGTTGAATGGTAATGCCGAGAAGGGAGAAGATGGCATGGGGGGAACCAGATGCTGAGTTGAATGGTAATGCCGAGAAGGGAGAAGATGGCATGGGGGGAACCAGATGCTGAGTTGAATGGTAATGCCGAGAAGGGAGAAGATGGCATGGGGGGAACCAGATGCTGAGTTGAATGGTAATGCCGAGAAGGGAGAAGATGGCATGGGGGGAACCAGATGCTGAGTTGAATGGTAATGCCGAGAAGGGAGAAGATGGACATATGAACGGTTTGAAAAACGGTACCAGGTGTGAAGAACAGGGGCATAAGGGGCAAACCTGAAGGCAGCAGCAGCGTCTGCTCTGAGTGCTGATGCTCGCCCATTCAGCCCCAGCTCCTGCCTGCCCTGCTGCCCTCCTTGCGCGGATGGCATGGGTGACCCTGACGCTGCCGCCATGCTCGTCCCTGCTGCTTCCCCAGCAACAGCAGAACCACCAGCGGTGCCATTAGCATCAGCAGCAGCGGCGGCAGAATTAGCAGCAGCGACGACCTCACCGGCAAGGGGGTCCGGGGCAGGGTGGCTCCTGAAAGACCCCCTCTGTCCCGCTGGGAGGGGGGGGAGACGGGAGGGCCCTGGGGAGTGCCCAGGTGAAAACCCAGGGGAACACCGAGTGGAACGGCCAGGAGAAAACCCAGGGGAAAACCCAGGAGAAAAACCAGGAGCGGCTCCAGGAGGAGTGGGGGCAGAGGGGGGTGACTTGGCGGCGAGAATAAGCCCACCCATGCTGCCATAGCGCAGCAGACTGAGTAAATCCCCCTGGTGACCCCTTTGCCTGGACCCTGGTGTCCCCCACTCCCCCTCTCCACCCATCGCCATCCCCATGCCCATTCCCAGACCCATATTACCGCCACCACTGCCAACGTTCCCCTCGTCCCCTCCCCCTCCTTCTCCTCCTCCTTCTCCTCCTCCCTCTCCCCCTCCCTCTCCCCCTCCCTCTCCTGCTCCCTCTCCCTCTCCACCCACTTCCCCTCCTCCTTCCCCACCTCCCTCCCCGCCTCCTTCTTCTCCTTCCTCTCTTCTCCCTTCTCCCATACCCTCCCCCTCTCTTTCCCTCCTTTCCCACCCCCCATCAGCCAGGCCGTCCCCATACCCTGCGCGCTGCTTCCCCCAAACCACAGGAGTGGGCGACGTGAGGGGCGAGTTGGAAGTGAGCGAATCCACGCGCGCCAGACAATGGGCAGGAGGGGAGCCTGGGCAGGATAAATTTTGAGTTGACTCAAAAGCCAGGCGATGGGTGGGAGGGGAGCCTGGGCGGCGCTTTGGCGGCGAGAGGGAGGGGCGGGAAAGGGGAGAGGGAGAGCGGGCAGCGGGCGGGGAGGGAGGACGAGGAGCAGGAGGGGAGGGAGGGCGGTGAGAGGGTGGGGAGAGGGAAGGACGAGGAGGCGAGAAGGAGGGTCGATAGACAGGAGAGCCAGTGCGTTGCAGCCTAGAAGCACCACCTGTTGCTGCAGCCGGTGTAGCTGGTGAGTGTACAGGGGAACGTTCAGGACTTAGTCTCTGGACAGCAGCAGCAGCAGCAGCAGCAGCAGCAGTGGCAGCAGTGGCAACTGCAGCAGCTGCTGCTGCCTGTGAGCCAAGACGTGTGAGTGGAGGGGCTAGAAGCCCCCCCATGCTGCCAAAGCGCAGCAGGTTCTGCAGCTCCCGCCCATCCACTGATGACAGCCGTGCCATTGTTTCCCTCTCGTTTCCCACTCCACCCCCCGCCCCACCCCCTCCTCCTGCCCCTCCTCCCCCAGCTGACCCCGCTCCTGGTGCCCCTCCCCCTTCCGATAGGGACCCTAGCCTGGAAAGAGGAGGGGCTAGAAGCCCCCCCATGCTGCCAAAGCGAAGCAGATTCTGCAGCTCCCGCCCATCCACTGATGACAACCGTGCCACTGTCTCCCTCTCGTTTCCCCCTCCTCCTCCCCCTCCTCCTCCTGTTGCCCCTCCTCCTGCTGCTGCTCCCCCTGCCGCTAGGGAGCCAAGTCTAGAAAGCGGAGGGGCTAGAAGCCCCCCCATACTGCCAAAGCGAAGCAGGTTCTGCAGCTCCCTCCCTTCTACTGACGACAGCCGTGTCACTGTCCCCCCACCCACACCCCCTGCCGCTGCTGCCGCCCCCCTCCCCCCTCCTCCTAGTGTCGACAGCCCTCCTGTCTGGATATCCTTGAGGAAAGACGGGAGCTCATCCGGAGGATCCTGACCGTTGGTTTCAGGTGCCTCCCACGTTCCCATCCATGCCGGTCGCGCGTTGCTGCCGGCTGAAAAGGCCGCATCGCCCACAGCCCTAGAACCACCTGCGGAAACACCTGGCTCTGCTGCTACAAAACTAAGCAGCAAATCATCACCCCCACCCCCACCACCAGCTGATCCTGCCGCAAAGGCATCTCCTCCCTCGGCGTCTGCCTGCATCTGCATCTGCAGAGGGGAGAGTCCCCGTACGCTCGCGAGGTTGCCGGCAGTGGAGGCATCACTGGGTAGGCGTTCTAACAGCCCCTGCCGGGCCAGCATTCTCCGCGCAAAAATCGGCTGCTCCTGCTGCCTTCGCTGCTGCTGCTGTTCCTGCTGTTCCTGCTGCTGCTGTTCCTGCTGTTCCTGCTGCTGCTGCTGCTGCTGCTGCTGCTGCTGCTGCTGCTGCTGCTGCTGCTGCTGCTGCTGCTGCTGCTGCTGCTGCTGCTGCTGCTGCTGATTATGTTGATTCTGTTGCCTTGGCTGCTGCTGTTGCTGCTGGTTATGTTGTTCCTGCTGCTGCTGCTGCTGTTGCTGCGACTCGCTCTGCTGCTGCAGGTCTCGCAACAACTGCTCTTCCGCCCGCTTCTGCTCCTCTCGCTCCCTCTGCTCATTCTGCACTCTCATCAACTCCTGCTGCTGCTGTTGCCACTTCAGTCGCTCCTGCTGAAGCTGCAGCTGCACCTGTTGCCGCTGCAGCCTCTCCTGCTGCTGCTGCAACAGCATCTGCTGAAGCTTGTTCTGAGCTAGCCCAGCCTCTATAGCACCCGCATCGTTCCCACCCAACCCACACCCAATAGAATCACCCACACGCACAGGGTGAATACCCTCGAACCCATTTTCCCCAAGCAATGCCCCTGCTCTGTTCAACCTACCAAAACCACTCGAATCAGCAGGGTTACCTAGTCCAACTAGCCCCCCCCCTCCCTGTGCTTCTGCCCCACCACTCACTCCCCCTGCACTCAACCCCCCTCCCATGCCCCCACCACTCAAAGCCCCTGCACTCAGACCCCCCGTGCTAAGCCCAGTACCAGCACTTAGGCCCGCACCTGGACTTAACCCAGTACCAGTGCTTAGGCCCATACCTCCACTTAACCCAGGGCCAGCACTTAGACCTACACCGGGACTCAACCCAGTACCAGTGCTTAAATTAGTACCCGTGCTTAAGCCAGTGCCAGTGCTGCCGGCGGGGGAAGAGGAGGGGGGGAAACCCCCTGATGATCGCGCAGTGTAGGGCAGGGCAGGCCAGGGTTGCTGGTCTAGGGTTTGGGAGATAGATTGAGGCGTGTGGGCGGGTGAAGGTGCGGAGTGCAGGGGTGAGTGGGTGTGGTGGGTGGGTGATGGGGCGTGGTGCAAGTGCAGTGCTGTGAGAAGGGCAGAAGCAGTGGGGGATGTGGGGGAGGAGGTTGGAGCAAGACCAACTGCCTGTGTGGTGGTGGGGGAATGAGCAGGAGACACCTGCTGCTGCTGCTGCAGTAGGAGCAGCAGCTGCAGTTGCTGTTGCTGCTGCTGCAGATGCTGCTGCTGCTGTTGCTGTTCCTGCTCCTGTTGCTGTTGCTGCTGCTGCTGTTGTTGCTGCTGCTGTTGTTGCTGTTGCTGCTGTTGCTGCTGCTGTTGTTGCTGTTGCTGTTGCTGCTCTTGCTGTTGCTGTTGCTGTTGCTGCTGTTGCTGCTGCTGCAGCACTTTTGGCGGGGTAAGGGAGCGAGAGGAGGGAAAGAAAGGGTTGTTCGGGCCAGTAAAAGAGGACCGGCGAGGGATGGGCAGGGGTGCTGACACAGACCTTCCCCCAGAAAGATAAGCAGCAGCAGCAGCAGCAGCAGCAGCAGCAGCAGTAGCAGTCCCAGCAGCATCTGCTGGTGCTCCTGTGCTTGTGCCCATGCCTGCTCCTGTGCTTGTGCCCGTACCTGCTCCTCCCACACCAATTTCTGCCCCTGCAGCCGTACCTTTTCCTGCCATGTTCCCAGCACCCGTGCCTGTTAGTCCTCCTGCTGCTGCCGTGGCTGTGCTGCTGGTTCGGTTGAGCCGAGGTGCCGGACCGAGCATAGGCACAGTATGAGACAGGTTCGCACCGAACCTGCTGCCAGGAGAAATGGCAGCGGAAGTTCCCCCTAAGGGGGAGACGCCAGGTGAAGTGCCAGGCGAAATGCCAGGTGAAATCGCAGCCAAGGAAAGGCCTGGGGGAGGGAAACGAGGAGGTAGGGGGACGGCGCAAGTGTGTGTTGCAGTGGTGACGCTGGCTGTGGGGCTGGAGTGGGGCGTGGAGGGCTGGTGAGGCGATAAATATGGTGGGCTTGAAGCAGCACCAGCGAATGCAGTAGCTGCAGCGGCAGTGGCACCAGCGGCGGCAGATGCGACAGCGGCAGAAGCAGGGAGAGGAGCAGTGGTGGTGGTAGGTGTCGTTGCCCCGAGCTGATCCAATGCAAGATGGTGCTGGCGTTGTAAGGAACGAATTCCAGCCCCAGCAGCAGCTGCTGTGCTGGCAACTTCCATTGGCCCTCCCGCGTGGAAGTTTGTGCGAGGCACGTCAGCTGGTGACACTGCTGTACCTGCTATTGATCCCTTGATATCTTGCTGTGCCAGGGATCCACTCCTGCTTATAGTGTTTACCCCTAACACCTGCTGCACCTGCTGCTGCTCCTGCTGCTGCTGCTGCTGCTGATTAGGCTGCTGTTGCTGTTGCGACTGCTGTTTCACCTGCTGCTGCTGCTGCTGCTCCTCCTGCTGCTGTTCCTGCTGCGGCAGCATGTCTTTCAGGGCATTCGGTTCTTCTCCTTGCAGTAGCTGCTGCAGTTGCTGCATCTGCTGCAGCTGCTGTAATAGCTCCTCCTGTAACGGTTCATCCGGCAGCGAGTCTCCCTCTAACAGCCCTTCCTGAAACGCTTCTGCTTGTAACGGTTCTGACAGTAAAGGATGTGCTTGTAACGAAGCAGACCCAAGCCCAGCCGTCGCCCCACCCTTCCCAGCCTCCGCCTCCCGAAACGCTCGAGTCAACCCTCCTTCCACTCGCCGTGCCCCTCCTGCACCCCATCTCTCCCCCCTTCCTCTTGCTCCTCCTCCTGCTCCTCCTCCCATCCCTGCTCCTCCTGCTCCTCCCATCCCTCCTCCCATCAAGCCCCCCCACGACTGGTCCTGCCCTGAAACCGTGCGGGTGAGTGTATTTGATGCAGGATGGAGGGGTGCTGCATGATTCGTAGGTGTTGAGAGCTTTGCTCGCTTGAGCGGCGGGCTTGGGCCCAGCCTGTCAGTAGTGCCACACACCCCTCCTGGCACAGGCAACGCCCCACCTTCATCCAACGCCCCACCTTCATCCAATGCCCCATGCGCACCCAACGCCCCCTGTGCACTCAACGCCACCTGTGCACCCAACGCACCACCACCACCACCACCACCTCCCCCACCACCACCAGTGCCAGCACTTAGGCCAGAGTCACCCCTAACACCTGCCCATGTTCCCACCATCCCTCCTATCACCCCTTCTCCTCCCACCACCCCCCCACCTCCCACCATCCCTTCTCCTCCTATCATCCCTTCTGCTCTGCCTGTCCCGTTTGCTCCCACCGCCCCATCCACTCCACCCATCCCATCTGCTCCCACCACCCCAGCCACACCCCCCATCGCCGCACCATTCCACCCCACACTCCTAACCAAACCCTCATCCCCTGTGCCTTGCTCCCTCCCCACACTCCCCCCTACCGACCCCTCTCCCCGCCCCCCTCCCTTCCCACTACTCCTCCCCCCTCCTCCGCCCTCCCTCTTCACCAGCGCCCTCACTTCCACTTCCGCCCCGCCCCCCACCCCTTTTTCCCCAGATCTTCCCCATCCCCCCACTCCTCCCCCGTCCTCAGCCCCTCCCCTGCCTTCCCCACGCCCGCCCCCTTCCCCCTTGGGGGGGGTGGCGGAGGGGGGGGTGGCGGAAGGGGGGCTGGCGGAGGGGGGGGTGGAGGAGCGGGGGGTGGCAGGGCGGCGGGTGAGGCGAATGCGGACGGGCTGGGGGTGGCAGTGGGGGCGCGTGTAGGTGAGCTGCAGGGAGGACGCGTTGGCGCGGTGGATATCCACCACTCGCATTGCTGGACACCTGGCGCTGCCTTCCGGGTGGTATGCACACCGATACACCACCCTGTGGGGAGGGGAATGGGCAGAAAGCGGGGATGGAATGTGCATCAATGCAAGGCGTTCACGAGGGGCTTGGGGCGTCTAGGCGGGTCCCACAGGTAGCTACCCATCCCCTGGCAGCTGCAGCGCCCCACCCCATCATCACAACATGCATAAGCGCACCCCTTGCCACCCTTACCCCTCCCCCCACGCACCGGATGTACATGGAGTTGACGAGCGGCTTGTGGCGGCGGGGCGGGTCCCACAGGTACCCATCTTCAGGCAGCTGCAGCGACCGCCAGCTGCGCTCATCCACCTCCGCCTGCTCCCCCCGCCCCCCCTGCTGCGCCCCCTCCCTACCACCCTCCACCTCCCCCTCCCCCTGCTCCCTCCCTTCCTCCTCGCCCTCCCCTTCGTCGTCCATGCCCACCAGAATCTCCTCGCCGTGGCTCAGCATGGCTTCAAACGTTCTGTCACGTTGGACGATTGGTGCAGGGGACGATTGGTGCAGGGGACGATCAGGGGAGGGGAGTGGAGGAACAGGGACAAGTCACTTCCCTTTCTGATAGCACAGAGAGCTCAGTATAGCAGTTTGAGTCCACTCAAATTGAGAACAATCAAACGTAAAGCACCCATGCAGCAGCAGCCGACTCACTTGTAGTCCAGGTCTTGGCCCCCCCCTTCACCCCCCTCCGCGCCCTCCTCTCCCTCCCCCCCCAAATCCCCAAACTGCATTGGGATCCGCGCATTCCCCCCCTCTGCCACAGACTGACCTTCCCCACCTGCACCCGCACCGCAAAAGGACAAGGTTGAAACGGTGGAGAGGAATCGGAATCAGCAGATGCGGGGAGGTTGAGAAACAGCCGATGGATGGAGGACCAGGGCGAGGAGGAGGCGGGGGAGAAAGAAGGGCGCACTATGTTAGTCTCACTCACCTCCGCTCAACCCCGCCTCCCCGGTCCCCCCCGCACCACCGCCCATCACAGAACCCGACGCCTCTGCAGCAGCGACAGCGGCAGCAGCAGCAGCGGCCATGCTCTGCGATGACTCGGACATATCCGGGGGGGGAGTGACGGAGCGCTGGATGGTGGGCGATGCGGGGCTGAGGCCCGCGTGGTTGTGGCGCCCGTGGTACCCCACGCGGATCTCGTGCGGGTTGGACGGGTGCCGGTCCACCAGCTTGCGCGCCGGACACGACCCCTTGGCCGCGCTGCAGTAGCTGCACCGGTAGTAGGACCTTATAACGGGGATAAGAGGGGTGGGGGAGGTAGGAGATTGTTGGATAAGTGGGGAGTGCAGGGTGGGGTGGTTGTGATTGGGGATGGAGTAGCGGGATGGAGATGCTGTGCTGTAACTTGTAACAGACCGCACTCAGCACTCACCGCCATCAGGACTCCGTTATAAGAACTCATTGCCATCAGGATCCCGTTATAAGCACTCACCGCAAGAAGCTGGAGTGCAGCAACACCTTCTGGCCGTACTTGGTCCAGCGGTGCCCGTCGAACACCACGTCCGTCTGCCGCTTCGACTCCTGCCCCACGTCAACCCCCATCCTTCCGCTACCAATCAGGGACCGACACGTCAGACGGAGCTAGGCGTCGGAACGCTCGCGCCGCTCCGCTACCAACGAAATGGCATCGGAGGCGTCAGATATATCGTGTATTCGTCACATGATCATCACTATCAAGTACGGAGCTCTTTGTCGCCTCGCATTCTCGCCATATGCCAATCGCGATATGTTTTGATTATTTCCGGACAACTGGATTGCTTCAAGCAACTGCTCGTGTCGACCGCAAGCGACGGATCCGCGCATGCGGACTCAAAAGCTCCTTCAGGAATCGAGGAATCGAGTTTTCGTTTATCGAAGATGACTGATAATTCACTTCAAACGCGCCGACGAAGGTCGCATTGTGTTGTCACAATGATGGTCGCCATGCCGCCGCATTACCCTACCACGACTCTCGCGGAAGGCGATGCGAGCTTATCGGGAGGTGGTGACGTCCGGATTGACAATCGTCGATGTGACATAACCAATACGTGAAGCTCGATCAGGCAGCACAGCTCGCGCTCGGAAAAGAAGCAACAATGAGAGGAAGAGCAACAATGAAGCCGTGAAGCTGTGAAGGATGGGAGGAAGGCGGTCTTGCTCAGCCTTTCACAGGGAGCAGGCTGGCTTGCAAAGATTTGAGAGTGCTTCCGTACCCGCAAAGGCGACGATTGTTTGATTCTGCGCACCTTCGACAAACTTCGGAACGCTGAGTGCGCGGCTCACGCGGAATGAGGAATGATGGTGGTGATTTCACGACGAACCAGACTCGAGTGATGGTTTGTGTGTTGTGGACTGTGCAATCACGAACAGTATGATGGTAGGAACTGTGCACTAGAGAAACTTTCGAGATGACTTTCAGGCCATTTCAAGGAACAATATAAGGCCGCAAACAACATTAAGAACTTTATTATGCTTATGGTTGATGAAACCGCAAAGACCTGAATGTTGGGCAAAGAAACGGAGTTGTTCGTTCAGAAAATCCTCAGGATGAAGTCCCGGAACCAAATTCTACGTCGGTTTCATCGTGACCGTAGCTGCTGTACAGTGGTTGGGCAGCGGCCTCAGCCCAGACCAGAGCCCAGCCAGTGGTGGGGCTTGTGAAGGAGGGACGCTAGGTTCGGAACATCGCAGCCGAGCCGCTGTGGTTGGTCTCCAATCAGACCTAACCCGATCAGCCCAACGAAGTCTGGGGCCTCAATATTTCCAGCCTGGCACAATACCCGATAACACTGAAACCAAAATATATGTGCTAAGAAAATCATACAAACTTCTGTATGTGGGGCAGCTCTGTAACGCGAAAAATAGATAAGTTGGTGGGGGTCCACGGTTATTAGTTGCTACTATTCACCTACCAATTGAGTCTCTACCACCACACCAATGTCGTTCTCCTGATTCGCCCGCGCGCTTGACTGCACGCACGCGCCATTATCATCGTTCGGCGTGTCCCACGCGCGCGTCATGGCTCGAACGCCCCGGAATCGGCCGCAGCAGCAGTCTGGCTTCGCGCGAGCAGCACAGCCTGACCGACCGACGGAGGTCGTCGCGAAAGCTTCCGGCGCGGCGAAAGCAACGGTTTCGCGAAGAGCGTTACACGATTCGCCGTCGTCCTCTCCTTCGCCACACCTGCCATCCCTCGCCTCACCCGCCTCCAGCCCTCCGTCTTCGTCCCGCGGTCCCGCAAATGCCGGCGAGAATAAATCACATTTCAGAGGAGCCATGAGTCCGATATACGGCAAACGAACATTCGCTGCAGTCACACCCGCGCCTCCGAAATCCAAATCCCCCGTTAAAAGCGACGGCTTGATTCGCGCGCTGTTACTGTACGGCGTGGCGTCGCTAATCCTCCTCCTCGTGCTCATAGGCGAATTGCATCGATCCCACGTGGCTTCGCTAACGACCGATCCTGTCTCGCAACGGCACCCTCGATTTAGTCACAATCACCAGAAAAGCAGCCAGCAACAAAGTCAACAGCAGTACCCGTGGCATGTGCGGATCAGGCACGGCATGTTTCGGAAAAACCCCTCTGGTCGCCCACATTCTCACACTCACTCTGACGCTCAGTCGGCCTCTGAAGAGGCTGCTGGTGCTCGTGCCTCATCGCCATACACGTTGGGCCCAGCGGTACGTTACATTCCATCGCCTCCCGTTACATCCCTTCCCCCCTCGTTACATCCCTTTCTTCCCCCCTCGTGCGTTACCCTTTTCCCCTTCGTTACATCCCTTCCGTCCCCCCCCCCCCCCCCCCCCCCCCCCCCCCCCCCCCTCTGCATTACATCCCTTCCTCCCTCGTTCCATCCCGTCCCTCCCCGCTGCATCTCTGTCACGGACGCTCCACTGAAACTGCTTGTCCCGGACCCCGGTTACATCTCCCTGAACCTCCGTTTCATCTGTGTGCCCCTTGCGACAGCCAGAGCCTCAGCGACTGGCTGCGGGCACACGGGTGGCGCATGAGCAACCCGCTCCCCGACCCCGCCTTCCGCGAGCAGGACGAGGAGGGGGAGGAGGAGGAGGGCGGGTGGGGCGCTCTCATGAAGGAAGGAGCAGCAGCAGCAGCTGGCGATAGTGACAGTGAAGGTGCTGAGGGTGCTGGTGCTGGTGTGGCTGGTGCCGGCACTGGTGGTGCAAATAGGGGTAACGCTGCTGCTGCTGCGGCTAGTGCAAGCAGGCCCGTTACCGACTCGCTATCAGCAGACTTGATACCAGCAGAAGCCAACGCGACTTTCTTGCGCCTGTTACAGCAGCAGGGCGACTACGCGTGCGCCCTGTGGGTGCGCAACGTGTGCTACGCCTTCAACCCCCTCTTCCACTCCGTCCCCGTCGCCAACCACGAGATCGAAAAGATCATGCTGCGAGAACGAATCACGGACCGCCACGTGGGCGTGTGGTTCTGGAAGGACCCCAGATACGACCTGTCCCGGTTGAACCTCTCTCAGAACATCTGCACGGGGAAATCCGCTCTCCAGCCGCTGAGGAAGGAGCACTTCTCGAGTGCGGACGTGCGAGATGTGCCGGAGCTGAGTGGGCGCGTGGGGCCGTTTGTGCATGCCAGTGATGCTGAGCTCTTCTTCCTGCACGGCCGCCCGCCTGCTCACCGCGTCCCTGCCGCTGCTGCTGGCACCAGCAGCAGCAGCAGCGGCGGCGGCGGCAGCAGCAGCAGCAGTGGTGGTTACTCGGGTAGTGCGTTCACCACTAACAACGCCTCATTCGCCATCTCAGTCGAGCAACCGGAGGAGTGGCGGGGCGTGGGCATGGTGTCGCTGAGAGACGGGCACCTGGGTCACTTCGTGGAGTTCATCGGTGCCATGACTGAACTCGCCTCACACCTGCCCACTGGCAAGAGGGACAGGGACGTGCCAGGCACGCAAGTGGCAGCGGCAGACAAGGATTCTCCAGGCAGGGAGGTGGCTTCTGGGGGAGGGACGGCTGATGCTGCTGCTGCTGCTGCTGCTGGTGACAGTGCTGGTAGTGCTGGTGCTGGTGCTGGCGCTGGTGATGCTGCTGGTGTCAGTGGTGGTGCGGCTGCTGCTGGTGGTGGGGATGGTGGAAAGGAGGGGGACAGGGTTGACGTGCAGCCAGTGCTCTTCTTTCCAAGTGGGTGAGTGAGTGCTTGTCTCTCTTATCTGCTTCCCACTTGTCTCTCTTATCTGCTTCCCACTTGTCTCTCTTATCTGCTTCCCACTTGTCTCTCCTTCCCCTCTCTCCTTCGATTTTTTCCTTCCCATCTTCCCGTCTCCACATCCCTCCTTCCTCCCCTCATTCTCCTCCTCTTTTTCCCTCCCCTCACTCGTCTCGCTTCCCGTTCCTGCCCTCCTCCTTTACCCACCCCTCTCAGTGCGGGAATATCAAGGTGGGTAGCGGCAGCTGGCGCGGTTGCCATGCGTGGCCCTCAAGCCATGCGGGAATACCAAGGCATGAGAGTCCCCCAAGCCATGCGAGAGCATCAAGGCACGAAAGACCACGCGGGCATGCGAGGGCTCAAGGGCACGAGACAGCAGATCAAGAAGGGTGAATTAGACCCAGCAGGGGAATCCGGGGCGGCACTGGCGGCAGGGGGAGAAGCAGTGACATCAGCAGGAGGAACACCAGTGGCAGCAGAGTCAACACCAGCAGTGGAGGCAGGGCGAGTGTGGACGCACACGACGTGCTTCCAGGACGCCTTCTTCCCGCTCTCCATCGCCCACGCGCCCTCCTCTGCTGACCTCTTCCGCCTCTGGGTGGCCCAGGGCGCCGGGCTTGGCAAGACCCTTAAAGCCCAGCAGGCCGATCCGCGGGTTTGGACGGATGAGATTGAACGGGTGGGGGGGAGTGGCGGGGGGAGAGGGGAGCGTGGGGTAGGGGGTGAGAGAGGGGGGAGAGGACGGGGAGGGGGGTTGAGGAGGGGTAGTGTGAAGGGTGGAGGGCGGAAGGGGGTGGAGAAGGGGGTGGAAAAGGGGGATGTGGGTGAGAAGAATGGAGAGAGAAAGGGGGGAGGGAAAGGAGGGAGAGGCAGTGGGGAAGGTGAGAAGAAAATTGATAAGAAAGGGAGGAGCAGTGGGGAGGATAAGAAAGATGAGGAAAAAGGGAAGAAGAATGGGGTAAGTGAGAAGAAAGTTGAGAAGGGAGGGAGGAGCAGTGAGGGAAGTGAGAAGAATGCAAATGCAAGTGTGAGTGGTGGGGAGAGGAGAAAAGGAACAGATAAACACAGTGAAAGGGATAAGGGAGGCGGAAATGGTGGGAATGGGGGGAATGGGGGGAAAAGGAGGAATGAGAGAGAGGATGGTAGGGAGGAGAACGCAGGAGAGAAAGGGGGGGATTGGAAAATAAGTCGTCCTGGCAAGGGAGGGGAGAAAAAGGGGGTAATTTCACATGTTTCAGGTGCTTCAGTTGTTTCAACTGCTTCAGGTGTCAGAAGAGCCGCGACGGGCAGAGGAAGCATGAAGTCCCACTCAAGCAGACACCTGCTGCAGCTGCAGTTGAGGAAGGGAGACCTCCCCATGAGACACCTTAAAGCCAAGGGAACAACAAATGTGAGCAGCAGAGAGCGGCAGCAACAGCAGCGGCGGCAGCTGGGGCATGGAGAGAGTGGGAGGCGGGCTGCAGGGAGGAGGGTGGCATGGCAGATAACAGTGGTGGAGCGCAAGGGCGTGCGCACCATCAGCAACTTCCGCCCCATGGTTGGGCTACTCAGGGCCGTCTTTCCCCACCTGCCTGTCAAGGTCGTCTCGCTGGAGGTACATTTATCTGCCAACTCTCTTCTCTTCTCCTCCATTTTAGCTGGTTCATTTCTTCTCTCATGTCTTCCCAACACTGCCGGTCCATCTGGTCGTTTCAGAGACTGTAAGAAGCTGGTTTGCTGTTTTCTCTCTGAAATAGCTTCCTCCCATTACCGCCTCCCTGCTGCCCCTTTGCCATCCTCACCTGCAGGCCATGCCGTTCGCCGCCCAGGTGCGGGCGATGCATCGGACGGCGTTGCTTGTCTCGATGCACGGGGCGTCCATGGCCAACGTGGTGCTGCTGCAGAAAGGGGCGGCGGCACTTGAGATCATGCCATATATGTGGCACTATGGCGCGTACAAGCGGTGGGTGGTGGGGGGGGGGGATGGAGTGGGGGGGTATCGTGGGGTGTCTGTGGTGTCGCAAGGCGCTTGAGATCATGTCCTCATGAGATCATGTCTGTGGGGTGACTGTCTCATGTCCTCTCCCCCCGTCTTCTGACTGACTGCATCTGCATCTGCATCTGTTCTCTGCAGCATCGCACTGCGGTGGGGAGTGCACTACTTCATGTGGCGCAACGAGCATCGCAACCTCTCCACCTACACCGACAACTGCCTCGACGCCAACGGCTTCAGCCAATGGCAGCCCGCCAAGTGTCACACGGTCACGGCCTGCAGGGCGTGCATTCGAGATAAGGTGGTAACAGAGGTGCACCTGGGGGAGCTAAGATCTGCTCTGCTGGCTGCCAAGGAGGTGGTTGACCAATGGGAGCTTAGAAGGGGAAGATCCTTTGTAGAGCTATCTGATGACTTGACTGCAGATGGGTAGAGTGCAGTTAGTAACATTCTTACAAGAGCAAATTAGCAAATAATGAGCAGATCTAAAGAGCAAATGCGCAATTTAAACCTGTGTAGGTCACACACTCTCCAGCGTACGTGCCCTTGTCACACTCCAGAGCACACGCCTTGTCACACTCCAGAGCACACGCCTTGTCACACTCCAGAGCACACGCCTTCTCTTGTCACGCCCCATCGCCCTCCAACACAAAACCAAGGCAAGTGTGCAGCAATAACCGCGGGTGGTGCTGGGCGTTGCAAATAAAGCTTCTGCCACTGCCACTACTAATGCAGCGCTCTAATTGCTAGAAAGGCATAGTGCCGGCGTTGCGGAAGCTTGATTGTAGAATAAGTAGCAAGAGGAACTTGCAACTGAAATGATTCAGAACAATAGGATGATTATGAAATGACAGAGCAGGGTATTTATCTTGAGCAGCTAACCCCTTCAGGATGGTTCTATCCACACCAACAACGCCACACCAATAATTCTACCCGCCAATAATTCTTACCCTCCAATAATTCTAGACTCCAATAATTCTGACCCTCCAATAATTGTACAATTATTGGAGGGCTGAGAGTCTTATAAAGGAACACTACAGTAAAACCTAACAGCATTAGTATCATCTTATGTTTGTATATTTAACACTCCCCCTTGCTGTAGGTTTTACTGAGGCGTGACTGAATGGAGGATACGTTGGAATTGACGATTGAATTTGTGGTAACGGCGTTGATTGCGGCGGTGATTTCGGTGGTGGCGGTGATCACGGCAGTGACTGTTGATTGATCCACCCTGCTAGGGTTTCGAACGTTCCGTCGAGAAAGTGTCGGCGGGAACCATACTTGCGACGGCTGCACGATCCAGGCTGAGTAGGCGCACGTCTCGCTTCTCAGGTGATTCCAGCAGTGCTACGCCCTGGGTCGCAATTCTCCCCGCAATCTCTCGGTTCTCGCTCAGCAGGGGTCTTCCAGACTCGTCATTCAGGCTCATTCTCGACAGATTGTCTCAGGGTTTCTCAGCACCTCCTCCCGTTCAGTTTCTTGTTCATCGTTTCCTGCTGCTGCTGCTGATGAGACTATGCCCGATTTCCTTTGCTATCGCGCGACTGCTGCTTTAGTCGCCACGGATTTGCTGCGCCATGGCGCGATGTCCTTCAGCTGCGCGTCTCACTAGCGCTCGCCATGTCATGGCTGGTGCTCGGTGACAGCAGCGCACGTGACGACCTGCAGCGCCGGATGCGCGTTTTCTGAGGCTGCGGCCAGATCCGCGACTGCTGCTTCGGTCGCGCGGCTGCCGTGACCTCCTCGCTTGAAAATCTGCGCGCTGCAGCTCCTTGCGCGCGACTGCTGTTCATGGCGCCCGTGGCGATCGGCAGCAGCGACTGACTGCAGCAGCATGCGCGCCGCTGCATTACCTCACATGTGGCGGCTTCTGCTGGTGCGCGCCCTCCCCTTGCCATTTCGGGCGACCTTGTGCTCGTGTGGCAGCATCTGCACTGCGACACTTGGCTCTTGGCAGGTGCGGGGCCCTCTCACACCAGCAGCTTCCGACGCCGCACCGCTGCAGCTGCGCGCCTACTCTGTCGTGACGAGGTGAGTTGCTCTTCTCCGTGTAACTACCACTGCTTGCACCTTGACCTCACTCATGTGTGTTTCTTGCTATTGATGTACTGCAGCACTGGCCGTGCTAAGTCGCTTGTTACTGCTCCCACGTTCTCTTGTGATTTTCCTTACCCCCGCCCATACCAGCTAGCGAGCGTGAGCGGCTGCAGCCGGCATCGGCACCTGGCACTCTGGCCCACACGTCTGCAGCTCCTGGTAGCGCATGGCTGCTGCTCCTGGCGGCTGCACGGCTGCTACTTCTGGCGGCCCACTACTGCTACTCCTGGCTGCGCACGACTTTCTCCTTCCGACCGAGGTGAGAATGCTTAGTTGACTCTTGTCAGTTTCACCCATGTTACTCTGTTACTCTGTGCTACTTCCCATGACCCTGTGCTGCTCCTCATGACCCTGTGCTGCTCCCCCTATACTAGGTGAACCCCGGAGGCAGCTGCAACTGGTACGCAAGCACCTGGCGGCTGCTTCTGCTCCTGGCGGCTGCTTCTGCTCCTGGCGGCTGCATCTGCTCCTGGCAGCTGCTTCTGCTCCTGGCAGCTGCTTCTGCTCCTGGCGGCTGCTTCTGCACCTGGCGCCTGCGTCTGCAAATGTCTGCCAGCGGCACCCCGTGACTGGTGGCAGCAGCATCACCTGGTCGCTTGCAGGAGCTCCCCCTGACGCCCTGCAGCACCTGGAGCCCTGCAGCACCGGGCTGCAGCAGCTTTCCCTGATGCGCTGGCCGCTTGCACTGGTGCAGCTCCAGCACTGGGTGGCAGCAGTATCAGCAGCACCTGCGTCACTTTGGTGAGCAGCACCAGCAGTGCCTGTCTCCAGTTGTCTCCCCCTTCTTCTCCTCTCATTGGAGTCATACTTTTGTATTTAGTAGACGTCAGCTACCCTTGTGATTCCCTCTGTCTACTTGCCTCATGTTGACTCATGCTGATGTTTCGTCTCCCCCTGAAACCTGCAGGCATATAAAGTCTTCAGGAACGGCCGCTGTAGATGGCGAGTGGTTGTGACCAACCAGCAGCAGCGACTGTCCAGCAGAATATCTGATGGCTGCTGTTGTTACTGATTGCAGTAGGTCTTCTCATGATGATATGCTGACTCTTGTGATGACGAAAATGAAAAGATGGTTGTGAGATGAAATCCTGATTTGTTGCACCCCAAGATACTCCACACCCCACTCCCCCTCTCACTCGTGTGTTTGGAGGCACGCACATGCGTGAGCACGCACATATCACCAAACACATGAGTGAGATGTGTGGAGTTACGTGATGCCGTGTTGTTCAGCTCCCCTTGAGAAGCCCGGACTTGAGAGTGCAGCTCCAGCAGCTTCAATGTGAGTACTGGGTGCAGACGGTGCTACATGTGAAATAGGTTGGAGACCGCACAAGTGGCTGCAGGTGAGATGTTGTTTCGCTGTGAGGGGCTTGGTAAGATAATCCGCAGCTTGCTGAGTTGTTGGGCAGTACTCCGGCCGCACAACGTCATCACGAACGGCCTTCCTCGTCCAATGGTAACGTACGTCCATGTGCTTGATACGTTGACTCATCTGCTCCCCGGTTGCAAGCGCAATGGCGCTTTGGTTATCCACAAAGATGACGGTAGGTTCTTGCTGTTGAAAACCGAGGTCTTCACACAAGCGGCGAAGGTATGTGGCTTCCCTTGCTCCTTCAAACAGTGCAATGTATTCTGCTTCAGCTGTTGATGTCGAAATGACCGTTTGTCGTTTGGTCCTCCAACTGACAGCAGCTCCTCCCAAGGTAAACACGTAGCCTCCAACTGAGTGACGCCCCTCTTCGTTCGCATAATCCGAGTCCGTATATCCACGGAGCACCAAGTCTCCTCCTCCATACACCAGCCCCATGTTTGCAGTGTTCTGTAAGTAGTTGAACACCCGGTGGATTTCAAGCACTGTCGCTGCTGTTGGTTTGCTTGCTTGCCTGGCCAGCACATGCGCCGCATATGTTATGTCCGGCCGCCCTGCTGTTGAGATGTACAGCAATGTCCCAACTTGTTTCAGCACCAATTGACCATCAATCTCGTCCGGTGGTTCTCCTTGTGGTCCAGGTTCCTTGGCGATCGGTGTCCGTACTCCGGAACGGCTGCCCTCCATCCCGAATGTCGCCAAAGCCTGTGAGATGTACTTTGTGAGTCCGAGTGCGATCGAGTCATTGTCCGCGGCGACGTTGAGCCCCAAAAACTGTGTCATGGTCTTGCTGACCGTTAAGGTAAAGTGCTGCTTCAAGTGTTGAATCACAGCGTCAATGCCTTCTGCGTCATGAGACTGGATGAGGATGTCGTCAACGTAAGTGAGTAGCCACACTGGGTCCTGTCCGTCTCTTTTCCAGATAAACAGAGAGGGGTCTGATTCGGATTGCACCATGTCCAGCGCCAACAAGACACCCCGTAAGTGCTGATGCCACAAGCGTGGTGCTTGTTTCAGCCCATATACACTTCTTTTGAGTTTCCAGACTTTGTCTCCGTCCCGCCTTGGTTCTGGTGGTCTCACGTATATGTCCCGGTCAATCGGAGCGTATAGGAATGCATTGGAGATGTCCAATTGCACCACTTTCCGCTTTGTAGCAGATGCACCAGCAACGAACACGTGAGAGGTAGGTCCTTGGCTGACCGGTGCATACGTCCCATCATATGTCCCCCAAGTTTGGCCGCATCCCTTGACCACCCAGCGCGCTTTGAACCGGTTTGGCTGCCCGTGCTCATCTCGTTTCACCCGTAGAACGACTCCTTCCGACAGCACTGGTGTTCCTTTTGGTACGTCCGCTCTGTCCACCACTTCGTATGCATCCACGTCATCGAACTTGGCCAATTCTGCATCCACAGCGGCTTGCCAAAGAGGTGCGTACGGGTCCTTGGTCATTTCGTGAAGTGTTTTTGGTTCTTTGTATGTCAGCTCCACCATGGGGACGTCGGTTGCTGCACATCCCAGTACGTTCTGCTGCTGCACGTTGGGAAATCGTGTGAATGTTTGTCCTGCCTGCCGCCTCCCAAACAGTACGTCCAGTCCTGTCATTTTGTCCATCCCTTGTCCTTCTCCTCCAAGTACTGTCACTGTTGGGTTGAAGTGAACCCGCCTTGGTGGCACGTCAGGAGCAGCCAGCGGGATCCCATCGGGTGGGTAGGCATAGTTGTATAGATGACCTGCGTCATTTTCTGGTTCGTTGTTGTCTGCACCTTCACAAACAGAGATGCCTGCCGCTGGTAAGTCACTTTCCCCTGTCTCTTCTCCTATATCAGCTTCAGTAGCTGCTGGTGGGTCTTCTTGAGCTGCGTCATTGGTCGTAGGTCCATGTTGTTCTGCTGTAGAGACGTCAGAAGATGACGTGGAGGAAGTGAGAGATGCGGGAAAAGAGTCGAATGCTGACCCAACGTCCTCTCCCCCTGAGGTCCATTCCGAGATATGAGGTGAGACTTCATCGATGTACCGTTGGCGTTCGAGCAGAGACTCGGCGTCCGGGAGCATGAGGTCGTCAAAGAAGCGAGCTGAGCGTGTGTCCGTGTCAACGTCGCTTGCCAAGTCCCGCACGATCCATGCTTTTCGTGAGTTAGAGAGGCCGAGAAACATGCCTGCCCGTCCTCGTTGTTCAAATTTCCCAAAGCTGCCTTGGGGAGGGAGATAGTAGCAGAGGCATCCGAAGGTTCTGGCCATGGAGACATCTGCTGCCTTTCCCATCATCATGAAGTATGGTGAGTGTGCGGATGGGTTGCTGCTGCAGCTGATGCGGTTGTGTAACCATGCCGCATATTCCAGTGCATAAGGCCAGAACTTGGAGGAAAGGCTGGCCCCGGTAGTCATTGCTCGCACTCGGTCCATGAGTGTGCGGTTAACCCGTTCGGCGACTCCATTCTGCTGTGGCGTATGTGGTAAGGACGTTTGGTGATTGATACCGTGAGAACTCAGGTAATCCGTGAATGTGTTTGATGTATACTCCCCCCCGTTGTCCGTGCGCAAGGCAGCCAGCGGCATCTTGGGCAGCTTGGTCTTCATCTCACGGTGCCAAGCCGAGAAAACTGCAGCCATGTCGGACCGGCGAGCCAACGGCGCCACCCACAGGTAGTTGGTGTAGTCGTCCTAGAGCGTCAGCACATAGCGAAGGGAGGGGTGAGCATCACCCAGGTCCATGATGTCGCTGTGCACGAGCTCCAAAGGTCGAGTTGTGGCATTGGTGCTTCCTGTGGGAAAGGGGGTCTTGCTCATCTTCCCTCGAAGACATGAATCACATGGGGGTTTGAGAGGGTTAGTCTTGTCGGATATGGTGAGTCCTTCAACATCACCATTTCGAAATGTTGCATCCATGGATGTGTATGATGGGTGACCCAAGCGCTTGTGGGCCATGCGATATGTGATGGATGCATGAGCAGATTGCACATTCGGCCCTCCAAGGTCAGTCTCATTCAATGCTTCATTCGGATGATCATGTCCAGATGCATGGGCGGATGCAAGTGCAGGCTCATATTGCACCATTAGCACCCCATGCATGACCATTCCAACTCCAATGAGTACATGCTCATCCCCATCCGCCATTGTGATATCCGTGCGCCCATCCTCACGTGTGTGAATGCGAGCTCCCTTCTTGTACAGCTGGCAATAGGAGAGCAGGTTGGACTTCAAGCCGGGTACGTAGAGTACGTCCGTGTAGCGCACCGTTGTTCCATTGGGTGCCGTTGCTCGGATTGTTCCCGCCATCGAGCTCAACAGGTGGCTTCCGTCAGCAAGCTCCACATAAACGGGTTCGTTCAGCTCCTCTAGACCCTCAAACCACTCCTTTTCCGAAGTCATGTGTTGGCTGCATCCGCTGTCCAGCAGCCACATCGACCCTCCGGTTGACGGTGATGTTGCTTGCGACGATCGAACCGTTGCAATGCATGTCATGGTTCGTTTGTTGTCTCCCCCGCCTGCCCCTTGCTGTTTTGTTGCTTGGTTGTCACGTTTCGGACTTTCACTCCTTCGCGGCGAGGACGAGCGGCTACTCCAGGTGCGCTGGTTGGTTCTCCCTCTGTTTTGTGGTTCCCAACCTGGTGGTGACCAACCTGGAGGCGCCTTCGGACACTTGTAGAACGGGTGGCCAGATTCCTTGCAGTACCAACACACAAGGTTAGACCGTCCTCCCGCTGACCTTGCCGCATTCCGGT